AGTCAAGAATCAAACACCTATATATAGATATAAAACAACAACAGCCCAGTATAATACCAACTCTGTTGGGGCCTAGGAGGTCAAGATGTATGTAGTCTCAAGGCTGTTTCGGTTCATTGCTGCATTATTGCCCCAAACCTCACAGAAAGTAAGAGGCAAGGGAAGTTTAATGTTCCATTTTGATTTACTCCATTATGTGGCCGAAACTAAAAGATAGTCAATATGACTCTAGATGTCTAGCTAGGCATTACTATGCCCGTAGACGTCTGATGCCTTAACAAGAATCAAATGTTTGGTCGTACATCTTACTTCTAAAAATTCAATTTTCAGTCATATCAAAACCATCTAGGGCTCCCTTTTGCTAGTGTGTTGATAATTTTTACATGAAATTTTCACTGAACTGCAACATGATGTCTAATATGGACCATTGTGGTATCATGACATTGCTGGGATAGTGGGATGGACAGTTTTTTTACCAGTCCCAAAAACAGGACCACTTCGGTTTTAACATGGATTTTTATGAATATAAGCAAAATATGGTCCACAACTCCACATACAAAAAAAGACCTAATTGCGTCAATTCATTTCTAAGAAGTAAGCGTAAAAGGGTGAAATACGAATTAAAAAGTTGGTTGTGCTTAAATTAAGTGGATACGTAGTACTCCGTATTATTTATGGTACACAAAAAAATTAAGTGGTCAATGGGAAAGAGGGAGTATTATAAAGAGTTGCAGGCAAACCTTGTATTCACGTCAGGAGAATTTGAGCACTCGGCCAATAGAGACACACTACTTTTACCATCCATGGCATCAAGATCTATTAGTGTGGCAACTAACAACTCCAGCTGCTCCAATAGAAGAAAAAAATTAAACCAACTGATATCAAATGTCGTATGTCCACATCAATAATCATTTGTCTGATACATTTGAGTCAAGTATCTAAATGTAAGACAAATCTCCTTTGGCGGTGAGTTATGCCTAACTCAACATGGTGTCTTGTCCGATAGTTGTTTTTGTAGCGCCCATCCAAAGTTTGAAGAAGCCTATTTAGGGGTTGTTCGAGGTTTCTAGTGAGTTTAAGTGCAGTATATATTTGTGAGATAAAAACCTTATCTCTTGAGAATCATTGTTGGGTAAATAGTCAGCACAACCTAACAACATTAAAGGAAACCTCTTTAATTAATCTACTTATATAGAAACCTCTTCAGGATCAGTGTAGTCAACAGCATCAGCTTCAGATAGGGCAGATGCTATATCCCAATAAGCTTCCTGTAATAAATTCACATAAGAACACTCTAATTAAGTTCAAAACCTGCCAATATAATCATCACATTTTGAGAAGTTTCTATGAACTTGGAACCTGTATAGCACTAATACGCTCAGCAGAAATTTCTCCATGAAGAAATTCAAGACATTTCCCATTCTTCTCAAGTGTTATGTGCTGAGTCATCTTGTCGGCATCAAGAGAAATTCTATTCCTGTTACCCATAATAATGTGCCAAATAGTACTCAGGAAATCCCTAATAAGATTATGCATTAATCACCATTATTTAGGCTGTCTTTGGTACTTAGAAAATGGTAGGAAAAGAAAAACATAAAACAAAGAAATTGGGTTTTTAGAATTTTAATATATTTAACCTCATGAGTATCTCTATAGAAATATTTTAATATCTAGCATTTTCCAAATTCCAAGATCCAAACGGACTCATAAGGAACTTACAAATTGCTCATTTCGTTCAACATCATGTCATGAATGTTTTTGATAAACTGAAAAGGCATAAAGAAAAATATGAGGATCATGAATGCCGAATACTTGGAAATTACATAGTAATTTTATGTGTAACAATAACACCTCCAAAGCCATTAGGGCATCTCCCAATGCACGTTGCTTGGCAACAAAATCAGCACGGCGCAAATCAGCCTGAGTATCAGGAAAGATAAATATTTACTTCTTTGAATATCATTGAATTGCAGTTTCATATAGAGATACTTGTGAACCCTTCCTTAGAAACAGGCTATTTGCAAATACAAATGTACAATAGTAGTAACTCGTAAAAAAAGTCTCGACCCCTGATTATGAGAAATAAACTTCCCTATGTCAGGGGCAAACCTAGAACATATGTTTAAAAGGAGCATCATCCCAAAAAAGTAAAATAATAATAATAAAAGGACTAGGTATTATTTATTGGAACAGTTAAAACGATACCCAAAGTGAGTATCATATTATAACAATGGCCCTCTACAGTGCTCCGTTCAAAAAATTGATGGTTCCTATCCCCCAAAACCCCACGTCATCCACCCCCGATCGACGATTGGTGGCAGTAAATACTAAATGGGTGCACCCCAGCCTTTCTTTAAAAAAATGAGGAATAAATTATGATTAGTAAAGAGTTTGATGTTAATGAAAATGATGGGAAAGGGAAACCTCCAAGGCGCCATCACTCCAATGCCTATTTGCAGCACTTTTCAGTCTTGATTCAGCTTTGTTCTTGAGAATCTGATGAGAAATAGCTATCATGCATTTTTGTCTAGACTCTAGACCCAGGAATAGCTTGAAGGAATAAAAGAATCATACTGTGGCAACATGATGAAGCCTTTCAGCTTTCTTCTTGACATCATGGTCAATTTTTTCAGTGTCTTCTCTAGCTCGGGCTACCCATGAAAAAAAAGTAGAAAATGACTAAATTATACTCTTTCCGTTGCCAAAAAACAGTAGAACATATCCCCAAAAAATAGTCCATTTTCATAAAATGTAGCTAATTTTTCATATAATTTGCCAAAATAAAGTAACAAACTAGTTCAATGTGATACATTTAGGTAAACACGCGCACACACACATACACCCACACACGCACACGCTCTCTCTCTCTCTCTAAGCTTGTGCACCAAAATTTAAAAATTTTGCATTGACCAAACAGAAGTTATACATTGACCAAACATGACTCTTTTTGGGACAGACAAGTAATGTGAAAGCTGGAGAGATCTTGAAGAAAAAGATTCCTACCATCAACCTTAAGAAATTCAGAACCAAGAAAAGCAATGTCTTGGCGGGCACGAGCATCCAACGTCATTATGCCACTGTTAAATGAGAAATGCAAACAACAAAATACTAACTCTTCTGTATAATACAACTATTACAAGATAATATATGGCACATGAATTACCGATAAAGCAATATGATGTCATTTTTAGCCCTTTCATTCACATATTTTGCATCATTGTAAACAAACTTGCAAGCTTCAGCTAATCCCTGACTTGCAGTACTATGTTTTCCAAGCAGGGCTAGATGTTTCTCCTCTCGTTGCATACTGATTCAGTTTTTGAAAACAATCTCTGTGAGACTAGACTTCAATTCAAAGAGGTAAGAACAAAAAATTTACTACTCCGTATTAGACAATAAAATAGCACAAGGAACCATCAAAGTCCTGAAAACCTAAAGGTGAAAAGCCTAGAATTTTGTCAGAAAGGAAAGTTACTATATTTTTCTTTAACAAATCGGTAAACTATGATGGTAAAGAATTATGATAACAATTTTCAAATTATTGGTTAAATTATTTATCACAGACAACTTTTTATACAACACCGAACCCCTTTACAGCAATCCATAATGCTGTTTTTTGTAATTTTTGGTCTTTGATCTATTACTCTATGGATATGTTTTTAGATTATATTTTTCAAGGATTTTGACTTTTGAGGGGGAAGGGATTATTTTAATTTTAAAATTATTCCTCTTGGTTCATGTAGCCGACCCTTTTCTGTCATCTATGATGAAGCCAAAAATTCACTTTTTTTGGCTTTGGGGCATGATGGATTAAAGCAAAATGGCTTTTTAAACCAGTTGCGCTTCTTTTATCAGAGAAGTAGCAGTTAGTCAATGCAGCTTTGGAAGCTCATCATGTGTCATCTAGAAACAACTGATCCGGTGCTCCATGTTTTAAACATTGAGGCCAGGTTGCGTACATCCTACCCCCTACCCCTTAATGGGCAGGAGCCTTTGAAGCACTAGGGTAATGTTGTCGTTGTTCATGTAGGATGTAGCTGACCCCAAGTTATTGCTTGGGATTGGGACTAGGCTTGGTTGTTGTTGAATGTTGAATGATACGTGATTTATGCTAATAAATACTTTAAATGACTATGACATTGAAACTATATTAACTTTTCATTTTACTCCGTATATCTTTTGTTTGCAAATATTACCAGCACTGCTTTCTTGAAATGAAAAATAACCCTTCCCTCCAAATGCCTCCATAATCTTCTCCCAAACATACCCAACAGTATAATTCCTTGTATATGTAGAAGAAGTTCAATCTTGATGATTCATTATTGAGTATTGAGAAGCTCATACCTGGATGTGTCTGAACAATCATGATACTCTCTGACACATTCTTTCGTTTCAGCATGGCGAGTTTCAGTAGAATGGCACAATAGAGAAGATCCTTGGGTAGCAGCATTTTGTTTTCTATAAGCTCGCCAGAAGCTTTGTTTGTTATGCCCATTAGCTTGGGTTTTGGCATATATTTTGAGACGCTGAGGTATTATGGAAGAAGAATAGATAATTCCATTAGTTTTTGCCATGGTGTATAGATCTTGCTCGAAGAAGATACAAGCTGAAGAGGATCAGGCCGAGGAGCAAAGATTTTCAAGAAAATGTGGAGTCAGGGAACCTAAACCAAAAGAACATCTAGTTAAAGTGTGATTTATCTTTTCAAACAAATAGAAAGAAAGTAGCCGTACTAAGGCTATATCTGGAACCCCGAAAATGGTAGGGAAAAGAAAAAGATGCGGAGGTTTTTTATTTGGTAGCTTTGGGTTTGATCCATTTCACGGAGTAAGGCATTTAGGGTAACTTATAAGTTCAATTTTAACACCGCTCAACCCAAATATGGCCAAATTGATATGAGTCTTCTGTTTTAGTGATTGGAACTAATAACTTCAATGTAAATGACTCCACAAAAGCGATTAAATGCAAGGAATCCATTAAGCTTGCAGGTTTGCAGTGAATTTTACATGTATAAAGAGATTGAACTGATCTGAAAATGACAAATGCTGCAATAACCTAACATACAATTGCTGATCAGATGTTGGGCTCTTCTCAGAAACAGTCTCTCTACTCAAATTGTTAGATATACCAGACATGTTTGGGTTTGGTTTGCTGATCAGATAACTGTGAAATTACAAGGGTTTAATGTAAATTATTGATGCTCTAGAAGCTAAGATCGACAATTTAGCTGTCCCAAACATATATAGTGGCGATGAAGTTCTAACAAAGCCGAATTAATCAACAAATCTCATAGAAAAGAGAAACCGAATAGAACAGTGGACGAGAAGGGAAGAATTCATTTACCTGTTTGCGCTGAAGCGGGGAAGAAAGGCGAGGAATGGATCGTGGAGAAGAAGAAGAGGAATCGAACTGATTTGAAGCGACAGCGTGGCTTTGTGGCTCTCCGATTGCCAGCAGCTCTCATGCCCCTCCGGCCTCCGCCGTGCGGTCCATGCGGTCCCTGGGAGATAGGGACCTATGTACAATGAATAATGAATGAAATGTCAGACTGCACGCAACTAAGATTGTATTTTGAGGTTGAAAATATAGTCTGTATATATATATATATATATATATATATATATATATATATATATATATATATATATATATATATATATATATATATATATATATATATATATATATATATATATATATATATATATATATATATATATATATATATATATATATATATATATATATATATATATATATATATATATATATATATATATCCGAAATTTGAATATCATCGAATATATCCCTATTTGTATTTGTATTTGATTAATATTCGAATCAAAAATAACATTTGAATTTGAATTTGTATATGAATAACGCGAATTCGAATCATCATATTCGAATACAAATCGCGAATCGAATTTAAAATATTTGATTTGTTTACATCTCTAATTGTACCCCATTTTGTACACCGTAGAGATGCACCAACATTTTGTGTTGGTGTAATGCTAATTTTTATTAAATGCACCAACACTTTATGTCAGTGTAAATTTTTATTAACGCACCAACATTTTATGTCGGTGTGAACCATCAAAATGTTGGTACATACATTTGGTGTACAAATGGGTACACATTTTGGGGTACATGTAGCATGCTCCTTTTGGTTTTCAACCAACCATTGTAGACGAAATTGATCGAATTGGAATAAAATTGAGAGTTTAAATTCTATAGAATTGATTTGAATGAAATTGAATTCTTTGATCCCTATTCATTTTTTACTACCAATTTCAAACCCACATATTTTTGTGCTACCAAATAGAAGAATTGTAATTGTTGTTCCCAATTTCACAGTTTAAATTTCGTGTACCAAACAAAACCCAAGACTGTATCCCAAATTGTACACCAAAGTTATGCACCAAATTTCTGATGGTTCATACGGATGTGAAATACTAGTGCGATCAAAAAATTTTGCATTAATATTTTATGTCAGTGTAAAAAATCACACAAGAACAAAATGAAGGTGCACATATGTCGTGTGTAATTTAGGGTACACCTTTTGGTGTACAAGTAGTTTAATTCTTTGGGTTTTTCTTCTTTCTTCTTTCAATTTCTTATTTTTGAAAAAATCGCAAAGAAGCATTGACATTGTTGTGTGTCATATATCCAACTACGAGTCCATAAAAAAATATACTCCCTCTGTCTCACAAAATATTTCTTCATTCTTTTTCCATCCGTCCCAAGAAAAATTTCTCATTTCTATTAAAAAGTTACTTTTACCTCTACTAATTCTTAACCTACCTATCACATTACATTTTTTCAATACTAATCTATTCAGACATCTACTTTTACCTGTCACATCCAAAGACATTTTCGAAAAATCAACACTAAAATACAATCATCTTAAATCTCTTAAAAATCAAAACATGAAATATTTTATGGGACGAAGAGAGTAAGTGAGAAGGTCCATATTACATGTTTGGAACTTATGACCAGGATATCACAACTCTTATAAATATAAATACTTGACAAAAAAGTAGTATAAAAAAAGAATAATCACGAGACAGCCGTCGCTACTCGTCATTGATAGATTTTGGATCTTCTGTCCCCTCCCCTTGTCCCAACTCCCTGCCCCACCACCCATATTTTGACACATAACTCACCCCACCCCTAAATCAACTAATACTTTCTTTTTCTCGAAATGTTTTACACTTTACGTAAGACGAATTAGATTTTCAATTATTTAAAATTCATTTTGTTTAAAGATTACTATAGAAATTAAAGAAATAAAACTTAATATTTAAAACTACGTTAACAGTTCTACAAAAATCAAATTGATAAAAATATTTTATCTTATTAAATAAACAATCAAAAAGTACAAATAAAAATTTTTTTACATTGTGAAAAATATTGTAATTCTTTTAACAAGTATAAACCCACTATTGGGTCAGGTGAGAGGACAGAGGATCCAAAAGCCCACTGGTTGGCGGTTCAAAACCGCAGGACGATCTCACCTCCATCGGCTTCTATGCGAACAGGTTTGCGTTTTTTCATCAATCGCTTCCACATCAGTACGGTGTTAAGTATGAAAATATCGAAACCCACTTAAATCTTTTGGTTCATATTCGTTTCACATTTCCAACTTTTTCATATTTTCCCCAAATATCTTTGAAATCTTGATAAAGACTAGAAAAGAAATAAAAGAATCGTTCTTGAGTATTACTAAACTCTGGGTTAGTGAAGAATGTGTAGAAAATTTCATCTATTGGGTATGTTTTATGCTTCTCCATGTGTTTTTTTTAACCTTTTGTTGAGAATGGGTACGCTTTATTCAAATGTTTAAAAAGAATTGGCAGATTGATTATAACATTGCTATGAACACCAAATATAGTTGTGCGTGTGGTTCATAGATTCATTGGTATTTAAGGGTGGACAGATTGTTGAAATCGAAGACTTCTTTGTTGTTGAAGACTGAAGAGAAAGAGCATTAGTAAAACAAATTTTTTTTATTGACTACAAATGTGAGTGCATTTCTCTGTCATGTTTCTGATATTATCTGCATTTTCATGGACTTATTTATTTAAGAGTAAGAATTGAATCAAAGGTTCTACTCTGCTAGCCAATCACAAAAAAAAAATCTATTAAGATCTGTTTTAGCCAGAAATCCCGGAATGAAATTCCCCGAAAGATTAGATTTTGATGACATTACTAGCTTCTTTTTTGCCTGTAATGATCATAAGCCAATTACAATTTAGACATTTAGTTATGTGTTTTTTGTCTCTCATATGAGGAAACGACAATAGTGAAACTCGTATTTAGATTGTTATTCAGTAACCTTAATTTGCTTCCCACACTCTTCTTTGTGTGTTCGTGGAATGAATGGTTCCCGAGAACAAATCCCATGTCCCAAAAAAGCTATACCACCCTCATGTCCCACTCTCTAGATGCTGCCACATCGCACACCAATGAAGTGGGACCACATTTTTGTGCTGTGTAACAATATCTGAAGGCTGGCACACGAGTGTGAGATATCATATTTGGGACATGGGATTCCTTGCCATGATCCGACAACATTGTTTTCAAGTGATTCTGTTTAAGAATGTTTGTGCATGACACACTACTAACTAGACTATGTCAATGCAGGGACAAAAAAACCAGGCTATTCGAGGGGGCATAGAAAAAGAAAATGACTTCTTTTGCTTATTCTTTGAGTGTGACTTCGCCTATCTTCTTCAACACATACAAGTATTGCTCAGTTCCATTCACAAGAACTGGTCAAGGAAGAAGATTAAGGGCACCCGTGCCAAGACCAAAATCCAGACTATTGGTTTGGGCTGTCCAAGAGAACCAAGGGCCTAGACGGTTAGTTGACATCATTCGTGTTCTGCCAGGTGTTTCTAGGAATTACTTTAGGAGTCCTTCTCGAAGGGCACTTTTTGGGGGCATAGCTTTGCTGGGAGGGTTTTACGTGGCCCAGACGATCTCACTCTCATTTGGAGCTTTAGGGGTCAACGACGTGGTTGCTGCTGTGGTTTGTGTTTTGATCACCGAGTATGTGACCAGGTTCTATTATACTCAGCCTAAGCTCACTTTTCCCGTTGCCCTTTTGAACAATTTTAAGATGGGGTTTACGTACGGTCTCTTCATCGACGCTTTCAAACTCGCCAGTTAGTTTTCATTGTGCATTGATGTGTGGCCTTTTCTCTCTTTTCCAATTTTCACATTTTGGATACTATGATGATTGTTTGATACTCACTCCTGTCCGGATTTAGTTGCTGCCTTTTTTAAAAAATCATTTTTTTTTGTAGAAACGAGTTTTACAAATCTTTCAAACGAGTTTGTCGATTATTTATGTCAACAATGTTAGCTTTTTCGTCTAACATGCTATGTTTAGCTTTTGAATAAATTTTAAAACGTCAAAACTAAATGTCACCATTAAGTAGTCTTTTTAACAACATTACAAATAGATGAAACAACGAAAGAAAGGATGAAACGGCGCCTTAATGAACCCAATTAAGTTATACTATAATTAGATATACTTTTTTCACGTATATGGTCAAATAGTGACACAAGTTGATATAAAAAATAAATTGTGCAAACTATTTTGGGAGGGAGGGGTAAACAATAAGAATATAGTCTGGGTATTAGCCTTTTTGCTTACCTTGCCTAAAACTTTACATGACTCTTTATACTTGCCCCCAAACATTTTGATAAAGAAATACCTCCTTAATTTATTCTTTTCATTTGAAAAAAACGTGCAACAATTTTTTTATTTTTAAAATTTATTATATCTATAAATTGTTATGTAATTAAAAATACAAATTTATTATTCAAAACTACATCAAAAGGTTCCACACAACAAGGAGTAACAAAAATATTTTATTTTATTAAAAGATTAATGAAAGCATACACATAAGTATAAGTTATCGAGAAATTGTAATAGTGATTGGAAAATTAATTTGGGACAGAATGAGCGACAAATAGCAAGTGACACATGTGGTGATAGAACTCCATTTAAGCTTACAATGTAGAAAAACCTAAGAGAAGCCATATACAAATGATTTACCTATTTTACATATACAAAGCTTACATGTAAAATTTCATAATTTTAAAAATGGTTTTAATTATAAATTGATATAGAAATAAAAAATAAAAGTTACACATTTAAAAATTACATTAAAAATTCTACAAAACAAGAGGTAATAATTGTTTATTTTATCAAATGATTAATAAAAACATGCAAACAAACTAAAGTTATCGAGTAACTATAATAGTAACGAGGTAAATCATTCTGGATCGGAGGGAGTACATAATGATAATGCTACTTTGACTATGACACGTAATGATAATGGTGCTTTCCTAGAGGCTTGATGATTGAGAGTCATGAGATCCCGTCTCTTTAGTTGTGATTACATTTATCAGTATTCATAGTTCATACTCTAAATAAAATGAACATTCAAAATATGCTCTCAAATTCATTCTTCAAAATCATAAATCTCTCTTATACACTTTTTTAAGATAAGGAGTAATATAATTTAAGATAAGTTTTTTTCGCAAGACACGTCTAATATAATTATTTTTGTATTATTCTACAATAAAATTTATGATCAATTTATGAATAGAGTTCAAACCAAGTGTATAAATACTCCGTATTATTTATGATTGAATTTTCTGAAGTTAAGAGTGCATATAAGAAAGAATAATTTAATTCTATTACATCTCATTAAAAAGAAAAATTAAAATTCAATTGATAAGCATACAGTACTAATTTTTATGGATTTTTATAAAAAAGTGAATACGAGTATTATTTATGCTTAAATTTTGTGAAGAAAATTGTGCATTTTATTATATAAGAAAATATGGAGTAATAATTTAGTTACACCACATCCAACCAATAAAAAATTAAAATTCTGTTGAATACATATAAGATCCTACGCGGAGACTCGTGAAGTCCCGAGACTCTGTAGAGTTCAACGTGAGTCCGCCTCTTATGAATGATAATATATGCTATGCGGAACCATCTCTTTCCGTTACAAATATATATAAATCCGCGTGCTAATTTTAAACGGATAAAAATCAAATTTAGTCGGGGGATAGATTTAATTAGATGAAGATGGAGGGTCAAGATGAACAATAAAGGTTGTAAAAGTCAATGTTCTACTCAGGCAATTAAGAATAAGCTTTGTTTCCTTCCCTTTTCCCACATCGTTCTTCCTCACAATCGGCCTTGCTCTTTATAAATGACCGCCACAAAGAGACTTTCGCCAACAAATTTAATATTGACAAGGTAAAAATTCTCTCATTTAGGGCATGGATGAAAAACTGAAAAAATTTATATTCATAAACCCACAATAGGATTGCTTGCCTTGCAGTTTTTTTTTTTCTACAATAGGGCATTTGTTTTATTTTACATACTTGGTTCCTTTTTGGGCAAGAACATACATACTTCATCATTGTATTTCTGATGAAAGTATGATTTGAGACAGGGAGAGTAAAGGGTAAAAGACTTTTTCCTTTCTACATGCCCTAAACATTCAGGATCAAGAAATACAGAGTATATGGGGCAAGTCAAATAGTGAGTGTAGTAAGCAAGTGACATGTGTGATATAAACCCATTTTAAGCTTACAATGTACCCAAAAAAACTAGGAGAGGCCATATACATGATGATAATGTTACCTTGATTATGACACCAAGAGTGAGACGTTAATACAGTCATTATGACACTGGTAGTGTCATCCGTGGTGTGACTAACCTTAGACATAAAGACTAACCTCTACTCAGAATTTTCATTTGGACCATGTTAGGAATCCACCATGGTTGCCCCCATTTATACACACAGACATTAATCATCATCTGTGGACACACGATTATTGACTGTATATGTATAAAATTCATCTGTGATTGTCATCAATGGGGGCACCCGCGGTGGGTTTTTAGCATTATTCTTTTCATTTTGCTCTACAACTCTTCAAATTGAATTGAGAACCCGCAACGACAACGCTTCATTCGAGTTCCATCATCATCATCATCCTCTAGGAAGAACACATGTTCATGTTCGTGTTGGTCTTCTTCTTCTTTTGAGGCTAACAATGGCAGCTTCTTCTCCATCTCTTGTTTCCTTTCATGTGGACGAACGCTCGTAGTCTTCATACTCATTGTTGAACTTTCGCTGGGGTTTTGAGCGCCGGATGGGCCCCCACTTGCGTAGGCATTGTTTAACCTTTGTCGTGTTACTATGGATGAGAGGAGTTGATACCACTTTGAAAGCGCTTGCGCTTCTCTTCTTCGTCTCTCCTCTGCTTTTCTTCTCTCTTCCTCTTCTCCATATGCCTAACACAAACAAATGCAACCATGCAAAAGTGATCAATTTGTGGTTTTGGTGAAAAAAACAAACCGAATCATAGGAGACGACGATAAGCACTGATAATCTGATATCAGTGATATGTGTAGTGTGGGTGAAAAACACGGAGATTGTATTATGGGTTACATACAATGCTTGACTGAAATTATCTTCAATTCAGTTTATATGAAAATTAGGGTAGAATTAAAAAAACAAAATGTATACAGAGTATATTCAAAAACGACGTCAAAAGTTCTACTCCTTTTGACAAAATTGAACTTTTGAAAAACGTCCAACCAAATGGCCCCTTAAAGGCTTGCTGGAGTACAAAATAAGAAGTGACAAGACTATACTAGGGCATTATTTTATCAAATGAATAATAAAAATATGCAAAGAAAGTTGACAAAGATTAATCCAGTGAATAGTGAACAGAAAATTATTTTTTCAAACGGATGAAGTATTTAAAAAGTAACCAAAAGTTATACGGAGTACAAAATAAGAAATGACATAACTGCATTACTTTATCAAATGATCGATGAAAATATGTAAAAAGAGATGATATAGTTTCACGTTCTGAACAGTAAACGTGACAATTAGAAAGGGATGGAGGGAATATTATAATGAAAATAATAAGACGTAAAACTTGACTCAATGACACGTTTTTTGAAAGCGAGATGAATATCATCCAACCTTCTAAAAAAGCAGAGGACAGAGGAAGTATAAGCTACTGGAGAGGAAAACTTTAAAACTCTTTAAAACGAAATTTCCACTTGATTACCTCTAAAATTGCATCTTTGAACTCAGCACACACCACAATCCCCTCAAACAGAGGGACAGAACGACCGTTGCGGAAGTCAAAGCCAACCATGGCAGGTGCATAATCTATTTCTAGTCGTTTTGCCACCAGAGAGATTCTTGGGAACGGCAAATGCACAGTTCCTGGAGGCAGGCACTTTTCTGACCACACATCAACTTGACCTCGTTCGTTCTGAAGTCAATGACCATGAAGAAGAAGAAGAAGAAAGAAGGTGAATCAATAACAAGATTTTCCAGCAAGCCTTTAAGGGGCCATTTGGTTGATGGACAACTACATGAAAATAAAATTGAGGATACTTCAAAGGAATAGAAACAAGAGTCATTTTCCAGATATTTTATCACACTAATTTTACTTGCGGACTATTTATTTCTACAGCAAAGATCTTTCGACACCAAGCATGTATGTCATATTATGGCATCAGAGCCATTTGAAGGATCTAGGGTGCTCCATTGAAGCGTGAAGTGAGTCCTACCCTCCCTAATCCCCTGCCCAACCCCGGGAAAATGCCGGAATCTACAGTAAAATTTGGCGTTGTTCGGGGAGCGACTGTGCCGACTGGGGGGTTGTGGGGCTAGGACCCACTTCGGATCTCAATGGAGCATCATAGAGCCCCAGTATCATATTATGCACCCAAACCAGTCTTAAAAGAGCCATGGAGTTATTCTATACGGAGTAGTATAAACAACAACACTAAAAACTAACCCTATATAAATGATATAATCTCAACTTCATTAGGGTCAAAGGGCTCACGATGTACATAACCTTACCCCTCTAGAATATAAAGAGGCTGCTTTCATTGGACTGGGAAATCAATATGTGTAAAAAATTGATAAGAAAAAAAATTCATATTCTGTTTTCTTTGCATTTCCCATGCAAAGGCATACATAGAAAGATAACCTTTATTGCCATTTTTTCCATTCCAAGCAGTTTTCATGATCCAGACATACCTTTAGTTCCATTAAGAGAACACAATGATAACTAAAAAATCAATGCAAGTATTTGTGATAAATAAAGAAAAACTTTTTACTGGTTGGAAAAAAAAATTACCTTCGGGACAATGCCATTGACTGCAGGAGGAAGATACAATGGTTCCGTTTGCCATTGTCCATAAAGTGCAGTAGTTCCACCTGAATCACCTTCACCACTCTCATCATCATCCACAACTATTGCTTTCCTCTGCTTTTGAGAATGCTTTAGAACCTTAAAAAGCATCAATATAAAAGTTGAATGAGGGGTAAGAATTTGCTCCGGGAGGGAAAATGGAAGAAAAAAATTCATGACATGGTAAGACCTTAGCTGGGAGTTCATTAGCTTTCACTTGCAAACCCTCCCGCAACCACCTTTGCTTTGTATGGAGCGTTTGGACACAAGTTCGGGGGTATACAGGATGACCTGAACAAAAACCCAAGACGGGTCCCTTCGGGTGAAGCATTTGATACTTGTTAAGCCATTTTTCAATAGCATATATATGATGGGTCCTGTAAGCCTGCATACGAAAAGGGACACATAGTTAGTATTGTTAGGATCCCACACACACACTCACTAATCAAGATAAAGAAAATCAAAATTGGAAGAACACTCCCTTGCATCCTTTTACAGTACCTGCTGATTGGTAGGGAGTGGTTCAGTTAATGCCTTAGTTTCTAACTCTATATCTTCTAGATCACTCCTTGACGCACCGACAACAGAGGAAGCCACTGAAGCTGACTGCGAGGATCTCCTCTCATTACTACATTCTTTGAATGCCTCTGAATGACAGACTCCTTTCACTGCCTCTATAGTCTCATTTCCACTTGCTCCTCCTGCCTCCAACTTCTTCAACGGTTCCAATACTGCATCCCACCACAGAGAGTTGACTCTTTTGGAAACTATTGTGTACCATTTCGTGCAATATCTACAAGAAAACAACAAACTCAGTAACACCCACAAAACGTAAGATCCGGGGAGGGTGTGTGCACGCAGACCTTACCCCAACACAAACATTTCTTCCAATAAGAAATATCTAGAAAGTAGAGAGAGAGAGAGAGAGAGAGAGAGAGAGAGAGATGTTTAGTATCACAAAAAGAGTCAAATTTGAAAAGTGATCTTGTCACAAAAAAAAGTCTTAATTGAACAAAAGAAGCTAATTCTCGTTATGCTTGATGCAGTTTTTGAAAATCTCAAACAAGTTAACCAACACATAAATGTCTAAAAATAGTTCAAACATAAAATTCAAGATTTCCAGAATGTTTAATGATATACTTTGACCAAATTACTAGAATTGAGATATAAATCAACATCTACCATGGGTTCATCAAATGAGAGGAATTTAAAAAATAATAAGTTTTTCACTAAGATAAAAGTTTTGGTATACACATACATTCAAATAATACTCCCTGTCCCGAATTAATAGTCCTCATTTCTTTTTTGGGACATCCCAAAAAATAGTCTTCTTTCCACTTTTGGAAATGTTTTGTGGCTCGTATTTTTTCTCTTCTCTACATCGCTTTCAACCACGTGATTTCACTTTTCTTAAACTCCATGCCAAACCAAAAGTGGACCACAGGGGGAGTATGATTTTTGAAATATTTTTAAATTTTCAGAATTTAAGTTTTGAAATTAATTTCCGGTTTTTGAAATATAAAATGATATATTTACGAAATAAATTTCCAGAATTATAAAATGTTGAGAATAATTCTCTGAATTTATTTATTGAATTTTGAAATGTGTGTGTGTGCGTAATCCATTTCATAGTCCTACAAAAGTATGATTTGGGGGAGGGTGTGTGTACGAAGACCTTACCCTACTATGAAGTAGAGAGGCAGCTTCTAAGAGACCCTCAGTATTTATAGTAACAAAATGAAAAAGAAGAAGCTCAAAGCAGCAAAGGTTTTGGAACCTGCGGGTCACATCTTTAGCTCCATTTCCCACAAAAGCAACAACGTATCTTAAAGGAACTTTACATGCAGCAGCAGAAGCTTCAACATTTTGCTCACCATCAATAATTGCATTCACAGGATCTACATGAACCCATTTTCCGGTCAAGTTCTCACTGCTGCAATAGACTTCTGCCCAGTACAACGGGGCTCCCACCTTTTTCGATCCAATTGCAGTAGAAATTCCATGTGAACCTTCTGCTATGATTTTCTTCATTGTTTTGTGAGGTGAAAGATTTGATGATGAAGTGTTTTGTGCATCTACCACATTTGGGACAGAAGTTTCCTTAGACCTTTCAACTGCTGTTGCAGAAAGCGCCATTTCCAACTGTAACTCAAATTCAAGATCACCTTTTCTCTTTGATTTTCCCCTATGTGTAGGACATGCTTCACTGCTATCATTCTGAACCTCCAACTCTGACTTATCCAACATTCTATGCTTCGAAGTATCGGTAAGAGATGAATCACTGGATTTAGATGTTTTCCCCAATGGCTTCCTACCCTTAGGTTTGTTTCCATCAGTTGGGGTCTGCTTGGAACTTGGGAACTACTAGGAAAAATAGGAAGAAGAATGTCATGTAAGAGAGGCTAAAAAGCAATTTATTTAGTTTTGGTATGTATTGATACTTCCGAGTAGGGGTAAGATCTGTGTGGACACACCCACCCTCCTCAGACCCTACTTTTTGTGGATTTTATGGAGTTTGGTTTTGTTGTTGTAGATACGTATAGATTATAGATACCTATTTTTTACTAATGATTACTCGTATTAAATAACGAGGAAGGAATATAAATGTGTAGAATTTTTAAAGATTCATCATATTTTGTTTTCCTTTAAATTTTCCATGGTAAAATCAAACATAAGAGAATAGTTTTCCATATTGTTAGTTTTTCCTTTCCCAAGTATTTTCCATAATCTAGACATACCCTTGACGAAGTTCCGCAAGCACTACCATTGTCAGTAGATGCCAGATGTCTTGAAGGAGATTCAGGAGCATGACTTGATCCAGCAACCATCAATGTTGAGGCTTTAAAGATATCATTATCTGTCCTTCTAGATAAATCAGGTTCATCCATGCTAGGCTTCAGGTGGGCCACGTCCAACATGCATACAAACCTATGAACATACGTATTGGATTTATAACTTGTAAGTGAACAATTTATCTTTTTATTTACTCATGTACAAAAGCACTACCCTGAGGTCTCCTGGATACAGGTCAAACAACATCTCTACTTCCGAGTAAGGGTAAGGTCAACGAACACACCCCCCTCCCCCAAACCCTACTTATTGTGGGCTCTTACTGGGTTTCTTGTTGTTGTTGTTGTACAAAAATACTACCAAGTTTATACTTGATACGCCCCATCCTACAAAGATGGGCTTGTATTCAATTCGATTTGTTCCATAAAGATAGACCAATTCATATAATGGACATGCATTTAACTTTCCATTTCCAATGAACGAGTTTAAAATATGAAATAAGCCTTCAAATGAGTTTTCCACTCATTCATGTCAACAATACTCATGGCTCATCTCTAGGATATTTTTTAGACAATTCATCATAATTTTTTGATTGAATATGGAAAGTGGAAAGCTAATTATGGACAAACTAAAACAAGAAAGTGGACAACTAATTCCGTATGGAGGGAGTTATAATCAAATGTACCTAGCTGTAATATTTAGAGCCCTGATCAGTGCCACAAACAAAGCAGTAACCTGCAAAAAGATACATTTCAGTGAGATCTTCCCGCCAACAAGTACATCCGTTGCATCGATCTCTTTTCAACCCGTTATGGAAACAACTTATGCTCTAAGTCATTGACAACCAGTGAGTAAAGTGCTAAAGTTCATCAATGAAAAAGTAATTAACACAATAATACCCTCAAATTACTTGGATTCTGAAGAACCACGCATTGTAAATTTGTAATGGAAAACAAAGCATATCCATAAATCAATTATTCGTTCTGAATATATATATATATACACACACACACACATGTAAAATGCCGCAATCGAAACAATAGAATGTTTGCTTGTGTCTGAATATATTTTCACCTAAAAAATCTAATTAAATATTAATTTTAAGTATTGAACAAATCATGCACAACAGATATTTTTTGGCAAATATCCAGGATAATAAATTGTACTACCAATAATCACAAGTAACTTTGGATCATATAAACACTAGCTTCTTAAGGTTGCACTTCTAACATCGAGAATACTTAACCCAAAAATCCATCCAAATACTCGTGCTTTACATGTTAAAAATGTATACCACTTCAGGGCTCCCTTCCTGAGATGCAAGAGTAGATCTCATGGCTAAATGTACTGATTCCTTAGTGGCACTTGAACTTCTAACGCGGAAATGTTTGTGGAACTGCATTTATTGGAATAAAAATACGATTTTTTTTATTTCTGTTTTTAAAAGATTAGAGAAATAAAACATTAAAATGCATACCCAATTAACGATAGAGAATAGAGACTTTGCAGTATGGTTCGTTGAATCTGGTATCTTCAACACGTGAGTGGGGAGAAGTGACAGTAAAGAAGCCTGCCATAATATAACCCCTTAGAGTGTGTAGTAATTGGATCACCTGCTTGTAGCTTAAGAACAAAAACTAAAGATAGTTTCGTAAGAGCAAAAGAATACATCAAAACTTTATGCAGCCATAGGAAATCTTAGAGTCATTGTAAAAGCATACGAAAATTCCACAAATAGTTTAATCAAAAGCCTAATCATAAAACAATTCATTCATGTATGGTATGTCGCAATTTTAGCCAATTCTTTATAAATTGTCAATTAATACACAATTTTGGCTAATAACACTTCACTGTGTTTACAGGATTGTGGATAGATTTTCTTTTTGAAGATTCTATCGAAACCGTAACAATGATAATGTACAGGACTTTTTTTACCATTAGGCCATTAACCAAATGGTTTACTCAGAAAGGTAAATACTATGCAATGGCATAAAGAAAGGTCAAACTCTGATAATGCAGATTGCAAGCAGTAAAGCTAAAAACCTGAATGAGAGGATCATTGCAAGCACAATCAATCAACCTCCCCCTCCCAAGCAAACAAAGCAAATGAACCTTATGTATGAGCTCAGCCAAATCCTGACATTGACCATATTAAAGTTACAAATACTCGAACGACACCAAGTGAGTGACTGGGTGTTAAGAGAAAATAGTATTTTAATTTGAAATACAATCAACCTTTTCTTCAGCAGTAGCACGACGCGCAGTCTTGCGACGCTTGGAAGCATCTTCAGGGACTTCAAACTCAACCCTTACTCCGTTAGTTTCTGAATTTAAATTAGGAATTGACCCATCTTCCCAATCCAGATCATCATCATCTTCAATCTCAGGATTCAAATGATGAGTATTTCTTCCTCCAACTTCCATTTTTTGTGGAGTGTTTTGCCCTATGCTCATTCCATCAGAAGTAGCATCAAATGCAGTTCTTGTCGTTTGTTTCTCCTTACATGGTGATTCACTCGAGTTCTAAGAATCAAATTATTATGCATAATTGAGGGGGAAAATAGGACATTCCATGATGATAGAATACACACCCTGCTAGGCAAACGTCTCCACATATAGGTTGCATATAAACATACCTACCTTTCCTGTAGAATCACATCGACGCAGGTAAGTATCATCAGCATTTGAGAATCGAGAACCTCCACGTGACTTTGCTTTCTTAATAAGCTTCCCCACTGAATCTCGTGATATGTTTTCAAGAGTCTCTGGAAGCATCAAACATACGAGCTTGAGTCTTGATAACAATACTAAATTTGAAAGAATTAGAGAAAAAATGTTTTTTTTAAAAAACACAAAGAAAAAGGGGGAACAGCAAAACAAACCATTCTCTTCAAGTGAAAGCCCGCTTTGTCGTTCTGAATCAATATGAGAGCTGCTACCCACCACTCCTTCGGCTGCCACAAAAGGAAGGGAACAAAATGGAACACTGAACACATCAATACCGGCCAAATCAACTAACAATATTACTCAAACACATTGCCAAGAGTTCCAAGTTTGCATCTTTAGTTCAAACAACACATTCCATACTTTGTTCAACATGAAAACAGCGAATATAAGAACTTAAATATGGTAATCATCAAGTGAAATATAGGTGTAGCTTCATGTAACAACTATGAAGGAATCCCTAAGCCCTAATTGCATAACCAACGCACATTACTTCTAGCTAGAAAGAAAATGGATTTTCTTTTTCAAAATAAAAAAAATGCAGAAACACGGCCAGTTTTTCAAGGGCGATAAGAATTCTCAGTGTGTGTTTGCGTGAGTGAATCGTACCATTCGTACCAGGGGATTGTTTGCGACGCTTGGAGTTGCTTCGGGTTCTCATCATGTCCGGTGAATTATAAACCGACCCGACTCCTCTTCTGTGAGGTGATGAGGCGGCGCAGGGCGTCTGAACGCATGGAAAGAGGAGGCGCGCGCTAGTCTCCGCCGGACTGATTCACCGAGTTCCAACTGCCCTTTTTCCTAACCTCTTTACTCCCTAATTAACAGTACTTCACTACTACATCTAACTCAAAAATTTAAATTTTTACATCGATACTGATGGGGCCACACCAGCCTAGGGCTTGAACGTTCCTGCCCGGCCCAGAGCTCCGCTCGTCCTTCCTACCCGGCTCTGCGCTCCGCTCGTCCGTCCTGCTCGGTTCGGCCATCCAAGCTGAGCCCGAACCCCGCGACAACGACGTGCGGAAAGCGACGTTCAACGAAGACTTGGTGAAAGCGATAAGATGAAAGGGACAAGACGTAAGGACAAGTGACGTCCGCTAGACGACGGGCATCGATTAGAGAGCTTTGACTTAGCTTATTTTACCCCCTATAAAAGGAGTGTCACCCCTCATTGTAATGGACCTGAATTTTGAAATCAATATACTCCTACTTTGCATTCTCTCTCTCCAAAACTTATATTATTTCATACTCTCGGTGGTTTATAGCCATCAAATACAAAATGCTTTTATAAAATTGTACCATAATATCGATATTTTTTTACTGTACCCCATCAAAATGTAAGTATAAATATTTAAAATTCAAGTTATATATATATATATATATTCTTACGTTCCTCGTTTTTGTTTTTTTCTCCTTTTTTCCTAAATGTGTTTCTTTTATTATTCATGTTTTTAAAATTGTTTTTATAATATTTTTAAAACAAATTATTTTTTTTGAAAAAAATTAAGATATGCTGTATCTGTATGTCTCAAATTAAAAATCTTATTTTTTGTTTTTTTAAATAAAAAGTTAATTTTTTTTTAACTTCAAAAAACGAGGAATAAAATAAAAAACAAAATAAAACAAAAGGTAATAATGAATATTCTCTTTGAACAAACTAATTCTAAAGATTTTTTAGGTGTTTTGATTTTTTTTGTATGAGACTCTTTTTTGTATGTTTCAATTTTGTTCATTTCAATTTTTCTATATTTTTTTATTTTTGATTTTCTTTTTAAACTTACCAAAAAAGTCGTTCTAAAAAATAAAAGGTAAATTTTTTAATTTGAGATATATAGAGTATATGTTATATTTTTATTTTTTTAAACACAGGGATTTTAAATTTCTTAAAACATTATAAAAAAAATTGAAAAAATTAAAAAACTTTTCCAAGAAAAGAAAACAAAGAGATAAAAAACTAAAAAAGAAAGAAAATAAATAATAAACGAATAATAAGAAATGAACATATGTGATTCTATGGTTTAAAAAGTAGACACCAATGATCCATCTTTGTCAGAAAATAATCAGATGGAATGTGAGCATAATATTTTGAAACCATGAAAACTTTAGAAATAAATTTTAAAAATAGAAGATACCCGTAGTATATTGATTCTTCCAATCTACATGGGGGGATGTAGCTCTTTGGCCCTTTTAACAAATGTAATTTGTATTATTTAGTTGTTGACAAAACCTAATTGTAAATTAACCTCTTTTTTTGAAAAATGTACTCATGTGTTTATTAAAACACTATCTCTTTTATTCTTTTGTTTTCCCTAAAAATACTTTCAATTTCTATTAAAAAAAACTTTTACCTATATTTTTTCTTACCCTACATATCACAACATTATTATTATTTAGTAATAATCTATCTATCACATCTTACTTTTATCCATTACATTAATGACAAAATTAGAAAGTCAACCACAAATATACACTCCTTATTTATCATAAAAATCAAAATAGGAATCATTTTTTTGAAAACTAAATAAATTAAAGTTGAACCAAAGAGATAGGAATTGAAAATCCCAAAAGATAAAAATTATACTCCCTTTGTCCCTAAATAGATTATAATTTTTTTTCTTTCTCCTCTCGATAACTTTTGTTTGTTTACGTGATTTCATTAAGTATTTGATAAAATAAAATATTTTATGTCACCTCTTGTTTTGTAGAACTTTTGACGTAGTTTTTTAATATGTAATTTTTAATCTTATTGATATACTAATTTGTAAATAAAATAATTTCAAAAATAGGAAATTTAACTCCGTAACTCGTAATTTGTAATCTAATTTGTAATCAAATTGGAGACAGAAGGAGAGTATGATTAATGAAATAATTTTAAATTTTAGTAGGAAGAGTTCAAAATCTTTGTCCAACAAAAAAAAGTTCAAAATCAGAATTTTACTGTAATTTCTAGAGTAATTTCTTCATCTAGCGTTGCTTTTTGAAAACGAACCCCTGCTTGCTCCCTTTCTTCCACTTTCTTTTTCCACCTTCTCAAGAGCCCTAGTTCTGAAATCGCGCCATATTGCGCTCACACGGAGTATATGACTCGCCTCAAATCCTCCGTTCACTCCCCAGACTGTTTCGTCTTCGTTTACTAATTCAGGTAATCTTCGCTTCCTCGTAGCTTGCGATTTGCTCTGATAATCTTTCTGTTTTCTTTTTCTTCGTTGTTGTTCTTTAGGAAACCTGTAGATGCATCAGCGTTTAGCTTTGCTTCGAGTGTTTTTCCATATGAATTACTGTATTACGCTTCTAATTTAGTGATCCGAGCGTGCTACTGGCACGAAGTCTCGGTATGTATAGCTTTTTTAGCTTCCTGGCATGCCGGAATGCTTCTTTTTTAGCTGTTTTTGGTGTCAAATATGTATCTGATAGTAATTGTTTTGTTTGTTTTCCAATGCTGGGAAATATGTAGTTTCGGTGTTCGGTTTGGTTACAAATTCACAGGAAGAAGCTACTGCTATACAATCCACTGTCATTTTTTCTTTTGCTTGAATTGGTTTCTATCCTTTCCAGATTTGGTTAGTTTTTGTCCGGGATTGAGTCTCTTACCTGATAGTCTCTGTGAGTATGGCAAGAGGTAGAGGACAAGGCAGGCCACAGCGTGGAGGAGGGTCATTTAGAGGTAGAAGAACCGCGGGAGCTCCTCACAGCGGAGGGGCACTTGGTGCCAGACCGTCATCTCACATCATTGCCAAGGCAAGCTCAATATAAATGGATGTAATTCAAATGTCCTTTACTCCTTTTTTGCTCAAACAATCCCATCACGAGTTTTTGTGCCACTGTTGAGTCAAAGACCACTCCCTATTTAGCTAAGCACCAACACATAGAGTGTGGTGCAATTGTTTGGCAATCTTGAGGACTATCTCTCTGGCTTTTTCGTGATAGAAACTTCAAATAAGCATGTTTTCAAAAAGTAAGGGGTTTTTGCTACTATTGAGGTATCTCTATTTGTTACACAGTGTCTTAATATCGAGGAACTTCATTGCTTGAAATTTTAAAATCTATCCAGATGGATGAACTTTAAGAGCAATCACCAGTCCGTAGCAATTAGCAAGGCACTTCCATAACTACCTTAGAAGGGCATTTGCGGCAGATCTGATTGCTGCACTTGGGAGTTCTCTTTGACTGAGTTATATGTTTCATTCCATTTCATGGCCTTTTGCAAAAGCTTAGGCGGCTTAGCACTTATTGATACAGTGGGTCAATGATTTTCCATCCCTATCTACACTTATTTTCTTACTTTCGTGGTTTCCAACTGAGATGTTGTTGTTTTTATCTACACTTATTTGCCGCTGCTGATTTTCTTTTGGAAGTATAACTAATACTACTTCCCTCTCCAAAAAAGAGATGTTTCATTAAAGTAAACTTTTTAGTACGAGTAAATGGTACACTGATCGGAGATTATCAAAATTTGCTTTTAGCTAAATTTAACAGACTTACGTTGTTTTGGTAAGCACTCTTTTCAAAATTAATTTTAATATAATAAAATTAGTTAATTGTGTTCAAATATGCATCTTTCTGGGGACAAAGCTTTCAAAATACGACCCTCTTGAGACACTCGAGTCAAATTTTATGGTGCAACTCTGTAACTTGATAAATCTTTTTATGCCATGGAATTTTGATGGCATGTGATATTCTTTCCCCCCTCGGTGAATTGTTCATTTGAAAGTATGCTGACTCCACTTTCCCAATATGGTCTCCATGTTGGGAATGTTTGCTTTAGTCTTTCAACAGAACAAATACTTTACCATGGCAGAAGAGTTTGACAGAAGGTGGCCTTAGGGCTGCAGCATTATCATCAGGGTTAGATATCGGGTCAAAGTTATTTGTGTCAAATTTGGACGTTCAGGTTTCTAATGATGATATAAGGGTACCACACGAGATCTGTCTTTTCAAACTTATACATTGCAATAGCTACGTTTAGAGTGGGTTTGACATGGTGAGATTTGAAATGCAGGAACTCTTTTCCGAGATGGGAGAACTAATAAGATATGCAATCCACTTTGACAAGTATGGACGCACAAGTGTAAGTTCTATGTTTTATCATATTGTTTTGTTGGTGCTTAACCACACAATTTAATCAAAAGTACTTTTTTCGGATCTGTATTTTTGAACATTATTGTTTGGCCAAGAAGCCTTTAATGCAAAACATCTTATTTGTTTGTGAGTCGGTATCTCTTGTTAGCTTTGAGTCTTGCACCTTTTTTCATACCACATCTTTAATGTCGCAAGGATGAGTCGAATATGCTTCTTTTAGGTTCTTTTAAGTGGTTCCCTGAGCAAGTGCAGAAGTATAGTCTGCTTTAGTTGACATATTATTATTGCGTAAAGTTACATATGGTTTTCCATATAAAATATATCTTGATTTTTTACTTTCCCATCTGCACAGAAAGGTTTATGGTTTCCATGTAGCTTTGAAAGGTTTGATAAAAGAAAGAAGATACAATGCTTGCCTTAGTTTTAGGATTGCTAACGTTGTTGGGATTATACCAGTTGTTATGATATTGTTATAGTTTTGCTTTATAAAAAATGTTAAAACAATAAAACTACTACTTTTTATTAATATGGATTTTAAGTTTTAACATGCAACTTCATAATAATTTCGCAAGACTATTACAATGCTTACACAGGGAAATGATTTGCCCAAAACCAAATAGAAACTGGAAATCTAAACCCTAAACCTATTGGGAATGCAAAAATTATAATACTGCTAATAGTCTAGGACTAGGATCACTCTATTTCCATCCTGCAATTCTTGGCAGAATACTGTGTTTGCTGTTTCCTCTCTATCGCCATAGATACTGATGTCGACTTGTATGTGTTATTGGCTTAGGGTTTTCTAGTTAGGTTGTTATTTTAGTTTTGGATGCGATGAAGCTTCATTTTCTCTATTATACTACAGGGTTCAGCTGAGGTGGTTTTTGCTAGACGGAATGATGCACTGAAAGCATTGAAGAAATACAACAATGTGATGTTGGACGGGAGGCCTATGAAGATTGAATTTGTTGGAAACAAATTGGAATTTCCGCTATCAGCTCATTTGAATGTTGCTGGAAATGCAAATGGGAGCAAAAGTGTCATGAAGTATGTTTTAATAATTTGATAAATCTTTTTTTTTGGCTTCATCATTCTTTTGTTTTCATAATCATCATGCATTCTTCCTCTAGTGGCAAATTTTAGACAAGGCAGTGGATTATTAATGTTGACATAGTTGTAAGTGGCGATAATAGTTGACTATTTTTAAAGTGTGTATTACTGATGCCCAATGCCATGAAGTACAAATTATTGTACTCGAAAATTCCTCTATTTTCAATTAGGGGTAAGGTTTACGTACAAACCCACCAGACTGTTGTAATGGCTTTGTTGTTGTTGTTCCATTATACTGTGTAAAAAGTCTTATATGAATTATGAAATGAAAGAAAAATGACACTCTTACCATGATTTTAATACTTCGGGTATATTTTTTTCTTAATTTCTTTATTCAATATTTTTTTAGCTAAATTGTTAGCCTGATCTAACAGGTTCGATCTTATTCACTTTTTTTAGTGCCCCATCTCATGTTTGTTATTTTCCAAGATTTCTTTATGTGTACAGCCTAATTATTTGTGTTTATGCATTCAGGCAACCCCGTCGACCTACTTGGGCTAGAGGTGGTGGCAATGCTTCAACTTTGCAAGGTTCTGGGTAAGATTTTGATTTGTATAGATTTTTCTCATTTTGAGATCAGAACTAAGCTCTGGGAAACTGGAAACTAGATATGAAACCACTGTAGGGAAGATGAAAATTACATCTACCTTACTGAGGTCCGGACAAATTACTAAATGACCCTTGAGGCATCTAAAAATTACAAATGAGTTGACTCTTTTAAAACTTGAAACTATAGGATATATTGATAGTAACAACTAACAAGAATGGTATCAGATTGAATGTGTAGTTTTAATGCATTTTATAGGCTAAAGTATTTACATCTTTCTCTCATGAAGAATCTCCCTGACAAATTTTGAGAGTATTATTTTTTTAAAAAGCACTCCATTCCTAATATTATTATTACATCCTGTCATCTTTAAGGGCCTGTTTGGTTCGGGGGAAGGGGATGGAAGGTGAGGGAAATGACCACCACCCTTTGGTCTAAGATTTTGGAGGGGAGGAGATCCAAAATTGTCCCCCATGCCTTTCAATCCCCTTATTATGGCTCCCTCCAAATAAGGGTTTTGAGGAGGGAAGCCTAAAATTTTGACAAATTATTCCCATCAATTTTATTATGCTCTCCCCATGCCTCTCATAGGGTTCAATATAAAAAAGGGCTAATATATAAGGGTATAGTAGTAATTTTGTCATTACCTCCCGTTGCTTCCTCCCACACACAATATTTCCTTTCACAAATTTCTTTCCCATTTCATCTCTTGCCCTTCCCTCCTATCTATCCTCTTTCCTTCCCCCATCTAACCAAACAGACCCTAAGTGCCAGTACACCAAAAACTCACAAGTTTGCAGAGTGCCTTATTTGTACAAGGTCATTTGTAATTGATCAAACCTCAAGGGATGTAGACGTGAATGACCCTTCTTATGACACAATATTATCATTATATTGTAGGTTTAACCAAAGGGGCAGTGGTGGTTTTAGGAACATGCGTGGTCAACGCCGTGCCCGTGGTGAGGGGCAAAAGAAACATGTTCTGAGGTACACAGAAGACTTCTCGTAGACAACTGTTATGCTTGTGATGTGTACACTTGAAAACATCTCTTCGGTACGTAACTCTAAATCCCAAGGAAGCGGCGTTTGGTGGTTTGGTTTGTATTGCCATTGTTTCTTTTCTCGGCTTGAATTTGTGCTAGTTGAAGTCAGTTTGCTCCAATGTAGATTAGGGTTTTTCAATCAAGTAGTTAAGTAGTTTGAATGATTTTCCCAATTGCCAATTGATTGATTGTCCCAAATTGCAAACTTATCCAAAGGTTAATGTTACAACAATGTTTATACATCAATTCTTACTACAATTATGTCCCTCGCTCGGACTATTATAATGAAAAACATACTTGGAAGTAAGTAATGTAGATTTTGGTTCTTAAATTTCATAAGAATTCAAAATTGTTTGGTACTTTATTCAATAAAGTAAAAACAATTTAGAGTATGTTCTCTTTCTATTAACAATATTTATTATTTATTCTTTTAGAATATGATCAGAGCAAACTAAATCAAAAAAAACTTTGACATTTTATCGATTTCTAATATAACACTTTAATTATTAATATCTATATTTGTATATAGATATACAGAGTATTTTATAAAGTTTTAACATTTCAAAACTATATTTTAGAAAAAAAACTAGTATCGCTAATACATTTATATTAAAAATATATTATGTTTTTTCAACTTTTGAGATCAAAATATAAAAATGTTACTAAAAACTCAAATGAAATTCTTAAATCTGACAAAGAGACTAAGAGCGTATAAAATATTGATAAAAAAAGAGAAACTAACAAAAAGTATAATTTGAAAAAAAGGAACTCTATACCAAAAACATTAAAAAAATCATCCTAAATAGGATTAAAACATAAAAAATATCAAAATAGAAATATTATATTATTATTACCTAAATAGGAGTGTGCACCAAGGTAATGTGACGTTGTGCATGTGTATTTTACGCAATATACATAGAGTCTGTTTGGGAATAGCGTTAGAGATTAACGTTAACGTTTTGGATACAATTTTAACGGTGTATATTAATTTCAAAATGCTACCGCTAAACGCTGCCCGTAGATAATCTTTTGAAAATTTTAACACTAATCTCACATTATTCTCAAACAAGCTCATGGTAATTATTAATAACGTATTTGCGTTAGCTTTTATTTTGAAAATAAACACATGAAACTCCTATTTTTATATATTTTTAATTTTTCACTTCTATTTTAATCTTTTTTTTCCAAAAAATCATGATAGTTTTACTTTTTTAGTACTCCGTGACATTGTAAAAAACAATAGAAAAAATAATTTATCTTCAACTCTAAATATTTATAGAGTTTTATCTTCTCGCGGTCACCATTTTTAACATTTAAACAATAATTAAATACTCTCTCCGTCCCAAAAAGTCTTTCCTGTTTCATTTTTTGCGCATCCCATAAAACACTTCTATCCCGTCTTGAATGCCAAAAAAACTTTCAAAATAACTTCTACCCACAATAAAGAAGAAATTTTGTAAATTTTAGACATTTTAGATGTCGTTAAAAGTGTTTTATGAGATGTGCAAAAAATGAAACAGGAAAAACTTTTTAGGACGGAAGTAGTAAATGTTATTATGAATTTATTTTATAAATTAAATTTAATAAAATTAACCTTATATCAACATCTAGTACGTAGTACTATTTTTATTGAATTTATAGTCAAAATTTAACAATTTTGATAAAAAAACAATCAAAAGTCAAAAAAATATTCAAGGAGGAAAGATCACTAATAATATAAATTTAATAAAATTAAATTTCATTTGAAAATATAATTACTCCATATAATACATCAATTTTTAAAATATTTAATTATTTAAAATTGTATTTAATTTATGATTAAATTATACGGAGTAAATCAAATTGATCAAAAAAAGCATACCTAGTAATCATTTTGAAACAAGAATATTTAAAAACCATGTTTTAAATTCTTCTCTATGACCAATATCTTTTTTTCTTAATTGTTTGATTTTATTAGAAGGCATTAACATAATTTCCTAGAAGTAGGAGGGAATAGTCCAATTCCATTGTTCAATATGGACGTTTTGGTCATTCAACATACTAAAGAAAGTACTTGATCCATTGTTTCATCCAGATTTAATCCAAACTCCATTGTTATTATCTTGTTCCAGAATGAGTTAAATTTTTGTATAGGCCTTTTGCCTTCTCCAAGTAAAGATGAACCCAATCTAAAGAAAGTACATGAATAATAAAAATTAAGTTCCAAATGAAATCGATTAGTTCTTGAAAATCAAAACAAAACTGCAAGAAAACAAAATTCTAATGCCCAAAAAGAAACCAAGAGATCAGAAGGGCAGAGTTCTCAGATAAAAGGCCATTGATCTTCCACATTCGAGAACGTGGCGGGAATCCGACGATCCCAAATTCAAGTCGAAGTTCAAACCCTCCCTCCAAAAAAAAACCCAGGCACAAAAAGCTCTCATCTGTGCATCCATGGCGGAAACAGAGACTCATAGAGCTCTTCGAAACCAGAGATCCAAAGGAAGAAGGAACGAATCTCCAACCCGAATCCAGAATCGCCATCCTCCTCCACGCCAGCCCTCCGTTCGGTGTGGTTAAAGCAAATGAATCATCATCGAACCCAAAAAAAACAGAATTCAGCGAAAGAAGAAACTGTGAGACCTACGAGAAATCGAAAGATCCAATCGGGAATGGAATCTACGGGTCCAGAGGTATCCATCCATCCAGATAGAGACTTTGATTTCGCGCCGTTTTGTATTTCACTCTGCGAATGAATCATCAGATCAGAGAAAATCATAGTCGGCGCTTTAGATCGAATTGAACAATTAGAATAAAGAAAACGATGAACTGGAGAAGTGATTAATTATTCTACCGGATCTGAAGATTAGGGTTTATGAGAGAGTGGGGGGCGATGTTGGAAAAAAAAGGGTAAATTTAAGGGGAATTAAATTAGGGTTTTGGATAGCCCCCCCCCCGATTGACATATTTGGGCTTTAAATTAAAACTTAGGAGTTCCGAGTTCGGGTCTTGAACGAAATTCGAGCCTTGGACGCCCAAACCTGACCCGATCTTTATTTTTTTTAATGGTACATGCCATTACAATGTTTATATTTCATCTTACTTTTCTTTTTAGTACGTTTCGGAATAGCGGTCTTACTTCTTTATTTTCTTAATAAATTAAAGAATATATGACTTGCAATTCATCTTTTTTCTGAAATCAAATTTTAATCATTCACTTTTTACTTTTCAACACTTTTCTTAAACTCTGTGAAATCAAACTGTAACGATTAGTTCGAGACAGATGGAATATAACCTCGTTAAATGTCTGAGTATATTTTAAGCTCTCATCAATTTTTAAAGATAAATGTCTGAATGTGTTACTTTGTACAATGCATAACTTTGTGAACTTAATTATTCTCTCCGTCCCAATTTAAATCGTCTAAGATAGATTTGTTTGCAGGGGAGAATCTCATCGCATTTTCATCTAAATAAAAACCCAAAACTTTCTCTCATTAGAATTGCTCACTTTTTAACCATGGAGATCTCGTACATGTCGGTATTAACTAGTGTTAGGAAACCAACTCAACTAGAGACTCAAATTGTGAGTTAGCCAAATAAGTTTGCAAGTACTTACTACTTCACAACAAAGAGAATAATACATCATCCCACTCTCTAATGAAGAAACCAATTTCCCAAGTAGCAAATTGGACCTAAGAGACCACATTAGTCATGCACAAAAAAAATGGCCACAAAAAATTCCCACATCCAAAGATCATGGTCACAACAAGCTCCATCCATCCATTCATCAATTCTACCTACCAAAGAAAGACAAAAAGAAGAAGAGGTAAATGGGTTTCTCCATTGAAGAAGAAGCTACCACAACAGACTTGAGCTCCACCCTAAGGCTGCAACCAATACTTGTGATGCAAAGATGGGTTTGCAGTTCACCCGGTGCGGCGGCGTGCGGGCGGCTGCCGAGGTTAGATTCGAATCCACCGCCGGAGCTGTGCCGTTCATAAACGTACCGTTTTTCTCCCCTCTGCCACATCAACAGTTTTGTTTCAGCATCATTAGGACTCTCATTGAATGGGTCCAAAGTACTAAGTTTTGTCATCCCCTTATCCCAAAATAACTTTGCCCAATTTGGCTTTTAAAAAAAGGTGCTGAAAATGAAAATTATATGGTTAAGGTTTGTTAAGATGAGATAGAAATCCTGCTAAAAATAGGAAATAAATCAAGTTAGAAGTGTTTTTTCAGTCATTTAAAAGGAAAAAATGGGCAAGGTTATTTTGGGAATGTGGGACTACTGAGGGAGTAGCAAAGTTCTTTTTTTTTCATTTTCTGAGATGAATTACCTTCCTATTAGACATGAACCATGACCTGCAATATCAAAATACAATTTTAAAAAAATCAAGTTATAAAACAATTAAAGAGTATAATAATCATTTTCAAAAAAAGAGTATAATAATCAACAGAAATTAGAAAGACCATAATAAAAAAAATTACAGAGGCTTTAGAGCTCTTACTTGGATTGGTTGTAGTGACAGTTGCCACCCCATTGAAGTCACAACTCCCAGCAGCCTTCCCTGCACTCTGATAATAAGCATTGAAAGCGTACGTGGCGTGGGCCCCCACCGTGTCCGGTTGATAGCACGGCCCGCCCTGCATCAACGGCGAGCAAACCACCTTCCCGGGCCCACATGCCCAATCCAAAGCCGCTTGAAGCATCTTCCCGTCCGCTCCTTCTTTAGCCACACAATAAGTCTCCCTCGTGGTGTCGTTCGCCAACACCGAACCCGACCCGGTCAAATGCAAGATGTAAACCGGCTTCCCCGTCGAGTCGAACAGTCCCCAGTTCTTTTCTGAGACCGGGCCGGGTTTGGTGTCCTCATTGTACAGCTCGTATATGTACGTGGATACCGGGATCCCCGGGTATTTTGGGGTCCCCGTTTTGTTTATGACGTGTTTGATCAAGTTGCTATTGTAAGTGTTGGCATTTTCCAAGGTGGCGTCAAGCTCGTTCTGGTCGCCTTTCGATGGCCAGCCCGACTCGGACACCACTACGGGGACGTTCGTGAAGTTGAGGTCCGCCATTGCGAAGTACGCAGCATCCACCATCGCGTCAAACACGTTGGTGTAGTGGAGGAGGGTGTTGGAGTCGACCGCCTCTTTCGCGGCGGAGAGGGGGTTGAATAGGGCGTAGTCTAACGGGATTACACCGTTCGACTGCATGTACTCGTAGTACGGGTAGACGTTGATCATGAAAAACGAACCGGTCGACTGGAGAAACTCGAGCACGGGGACCAAAACCGGCTTCCAAGTGTGGTTGAAGAAGGCTTGGGACGGGGGAAACGAGTCGAGGATAATGGAGGAAGCGAGCGGGGTCGAGACTTTGACCCGCTTCTCGAGCCCGGATGCGACGAGCGCGGAATGCACGTACCGAAGGGCGGTGACCAGGACGCGGCCCGCGTTCGGGAGGGACGAGGGGACCTCAGACCCCACGCAAACGGTCGTGATGTTGGTGGCAGGGTAGTGGGACACGACATTTTGGGCCACCCAGTTCGCGGCAGTCGAGTTGGACTGGCCCACGCCGATGAGTTGGTCGTTGGGGATGGAGACGGCGACGCGGATGCCGGAGTTGGCGAGGGCTAAGAGCATGCCGCGGTCCGCGTCGTAGAGGCGGACGTGGCGGATTTGTTGGGCCTTGAGGAGTGCAACTATTTGTGTTGGGTGTGGCATGTCTGTCATGTCTGTTCCTATGTTCACTCCAATGAAAGCATCTGTTTGTCAAAATGACAAAAAAATAAAAATAAAAAACGTAAACATGAACTGTTTGTTCATTGAAATCAAAGGTTATAAAAGTACATAGACAAGATGAGCTGGAAAAAAATGTTCTTTTTATTTCAAACTTTTGTTCATTTCCATGTTATGTCACACAAATAATAAAAGGTGACAAATGGGTAAAACACTAAGCACAGTGTGGATTCCATTTCCAAGATTTTTTTTTTGGGCACAATTTTTTCAATGATGGAGGCAAGGAAAAAAATTGAAATATTCCCTTTTCAGTCCTCAAAAGCTTTAAAAATTGCAGACTGAAAAATAAATTTATTTAATGAAATAATTATAAATGGGGGCAATATCTACAGAAAGGGTATCAAACTATCAAATATCAATACCCTTACACACACACACACTGCACTATGGCTTTGTTTTTTCCCTCAATGCCCTTACAAAGACAGCTCTTATATCTTCCCTTTTTTGCATTTCTCTTAGGTCCACAAGTTTCTTGAATTTGTACTTTCACACCTGATAATAAATTCTTCTGTACCAGAAATGTTAATTATCTCACTCTCATAATACACAAGTCTCTTGATTAATGACATAATTAATGACAACAATGGTAATGAATGTAAGAAGATTTAGAGTGACAATCTGTTTGCTTAATATAAGTGTGCAGACAAGTGATGCATTTTCTCTGGTTAGTTTTGGTTAATTCAGATCCCAAACTTTATGTATCTGGACCATATTCTATTTTCAGATTTCTAGATTTTTTTTCTAGGGTTTTGACTAAGGGCCTGTTTGGCAACGGTCATTTCACTAAAATAGCTGTAAATTTTTAATTTTTTTAAAAGTTTTGACTAAGGGTCTGTTTGGCAACGGTTATTTCACTAAATTAGCTGGGTTTTTTTTTAAATGAAAAATCTTTCAGCCAAACAACTAAGTGAAGCATAAATCTTGTTGCAGAATTATCAAACAACAACAACACAAAAAGGATAATGCAAAAAAATGGTAAGCAGAGAATGACCACTTTACCCCCAGAGCCCACAGGCAAATCACTGTGATTTTTGAAGGGTTAGGGTTTGAGGAGAGGGTGTTTTGGGGAATTTTTTGAAAAGAAAGTGAAAAGAGCAGATAAGAAAATAACCAGGAAGATTTATTGAACTAAAGAATGAATTACTGTTCTAACCTTCATCGCCATTAACAGCAGAGAGTGTTAAGAGGAAGAGGAAGAAGAGAAACCCCATTTTTCTTGAAGCTCACTTTCTCGGTGTTCAGACAGACAAATTGAAATTTTAAGAGTGGATGGAAATGTGTAGAAGGTGGGGGAGAGGGTGGGATAGTAAATGGCATGTGAAGAATGAATGAAGTGACAGAGATTGGGGTATAGAACCAAGAGAAGGGAAACAAAAACAAAAACAAAATAAAAAAAGTTAGTCATTCTCCCGGCCCCGTTGGATGGTCACTCAGAAGACATAAATTAAACTTTAATCATAGATTGGTAGCAGAACGATGTACTTTGTACTTGCAGAAGTCATATACTTGGCATAATTGTTTTCCAGTACGATTGTCAGGAATCGAACTCGGAGTACTTCGTATAATGTTATATCGGTGATTTGTTTAGAAGAGAGTCATTATTTTTTAAAAACACTCCGAATTTGCTTACATGGATAATTAAGGAAGTGCAAATTTTGATTTGAATAATTAAGTTAAATACTCCCTCCGTCCCTCTGTATTTGTCCACTTTCATTTTTGCACATCATCCAATACACTTCTTTAATCCATTTTATCTTGTAATTTGTATATTAAAAAATTATAAAAATTATATATTAATAATCTATATGTTAAGACAAATCAAACAAGATCACACATGACTATATTTAGACTTACACATTGAGATAATTTGATGAGTCAAAGTGCTTAGATGAACAGTTCTAAAAGTCAAATGTGGACAAATACAGGGGGACGGAAGGAGTAGAAAATTGTGAATTTCATTTTAATAAAGAACAAGTATTAGATTGGCTACTTCTTCTTCTCATCTAAGGTACAAAGTACGAAGTACGAAGTACGTAGTATAATGTTATATTCTGTAATTTGCTTAGAAGAGAGTCAGTATTTAAAAAAAATCACTCCGTATTTGCTTACATAAATAAGTAAGCAAGTGCAAATTTTGATTCGAATATTTTAATTAACGAGAAAATTGTGAATTTCATTTTAATAGAGAAAATTGTGAATAAAAAAATTTAAGTTTTATATTGGAAAATCACTTATGTTTTAGTTCTATTTAATACAAGATTCACTATTATATATTAACGAGTAATTTAATTTTAAATAAAACTTGTAGTCTAAGCTCTAAATACTAAAATTAAAGTTAGAAGTCTAAAATTTGGAGTTTGGATACCTAAACTTGAAAAGACTTAATCTCAACCATATAAATAATTAAATATTTATCAGCAATATTAGTGCTTCGCTTGACCAAAAAAATGAGCTTAAGAAAACTAAAATGAACACTTAGTTTAAGCATTACATAGTACTCCCTACTATATTGTTTTTTGTAATGAAATTCAATGACAAATTTGGAACCATCGAAAAATGAAAAATACAAAATCTATTTTAAGAAACTAAAAGGAATGATTGTGTATATTTTTAGCATTTTTGGATCAAAAAGCTAAAAATACTCTATATGAAGTAGGCGGTATAATGTTAAGTATTATAATGATTTTGTAGATAAATTTTTTAAAATGATAAAACTAAACGTTAAAATTACAAATATTTATTAATTTTCAATTTAAAATTTTCCTTCTAAACTTCAAATAGCCACGGAATAATTTGAGTTAAAATTTTTGTGGGCCGAGTAAACAAGGCAGAGTATTAGGTGAGATTTGACCACTTACCCATATAGAGTCAGGATCCACTTTCTATCCAAAAATTTAAGCTAATGAGTAAAGTTCCATCTTTCTTTATATGAGAGTGTTATTTATTTGATTTTTTCGGTGTGGGATAAACTCCAATCCCAACAGTAACATATTGCAAAAAAAGGATCATCAAATCATCCCCATCTACTAGGCCAACTAGGGTCACCGGGTTAGTATTCAAAAAATAAAAATATTCTTGGAAATTGAGAAATTCTATACTCACAAACATAAGTAAAGTTTATAAAACTTTGGTTTTGTAATAAAAAAAAATGAAGGACGTGTACAATGACCTTATGCTAAATATGAAAATCTCATTTTGTCCTTACCAGAAATCAAATCTATTCAGGTTACACTTTAGCACTATCTTTTGACCATTTAAATTGCGTCACTTAATAGACACATAGATAAAATTTTAATGAGGTGCAAACAACCGAAACACTTTCTATTTATGAATTACTCCGTAGTTTCTAGGAGTAAGACAAGAATAAGTTAAAATTACAAGGAACTATTAACAAATAGTTAAAATTATGGTATATAAATTGGAATGGTCGACACTTTTAGGGAACATCTTAGAGGAGCAAGGTGGGAGGCCATAAGAGAAATTCGTGGGGTCAATGTGAGACAACATTGGACTTCATTGACTGGCGTGAAAAAATATGGATATGTTGGCCAACGGCTATATGGCCTAGTTGTAACGATTATAATTCAAAAAAGTATGAAGTGTTATTTCTCACAACTATCACGTCCGTACGTTGCACTGATCTTTTTTATGTTATTAAATTCAAATCATTTTTTAATAATAAAAATGACATGCAATAGAATATAGACCGTATTTATAGTATATAATTCTATTTTTTTTCAAAATTGTGTGTATACTTATTCTTACTATAATTATATTATACTATAATTATTCTTACTATAATTATATTTTACTATAAGCATACACAGTTATTTTTGAAACTGTGTGTATAGTTATTCTTACTATAATTATATTATACGGAGTATTACCTACTCACACGGTTATACAATCATTACGTTGGTTAATTATTACCTCTTTTTTAAATTATTTTCAATTTTAATAACGCAATAATAACGCTTTTAAACATTTTTTGGAAATTACCTTTCTTGCACGGAGTAATAATTCGTGCACGAGTTAAAAATGACAGTTAATTATATAATTTTATGGTTATTACCTTTCTTGGTAGCGTGCTTAAAAATCATACCTTGGTAGGGTGCTTAAAATTCATTTATAAGCGTGCTTAAAAATCATTTTATTATTTTTATTCACAACCATACGCTAACCATTTTTATAGTACTATAATTTTGGATACTTATCATTTAATTTCACAATTGCTATATGTAATGGTCATACTTCATGCACGGGTTAAAAATGTACACTATAATTTCGAACACTTATCATTTATATAGGTAATAATTGCACGGAGTTATAATTTTTACATTTTTTCGTTATTACCTTTTTGCTATTAAACATATATATATGTAAAGGGTTTTACTATATTAATTTTTTTCCGAAACTGTATGTATAATTATTCTTATCATAATTATATTATACTATAATCATACACATTTTTTTTATATAACCTAGTCACACGGTAATCATATAATTATATAATTATGGTAAGAAGAATCATACACTTATTTTTAATACCATTGATTTACGTGTATTAAAGTTTAAAAATATTTTTTATAAATAATTTTTGCCTATTTTATAAATATTTTTTATAACTCACCTTTCTTGGTAGTATAAATTTCAAACACTTTTAAATGACAATTAATTATTATAAATATTCACAACCATACGCTAACCATTTTTATATTACTATAATTTCGGACACTTACCATTTAATTTCACAATTGCTATATGTAATGGCCATACTTCGTGCATGGGTTAAAAATGGACACTATAATTTCGAATACTTACCATTTATATAGGTAATAATAATTGCACGGAGAAATAACTATTACATTTTTTGCTAGTATAAATTTCGGATACTTTAAAAATGACAGTTAATTATTATAAATGTAATATAATAATTATACTTATAAAACGTAAATTTTATCTTACTATAATTTCGGGCACGTACCATTTTAACTTCACATTACCATATGTATTGGTCATACTCTTTGGGTGGAAAAATGCAATATTGACTCCATGTCGATCATTTTAAATAAAGTATGGATGTCTAGGGATGAGTTGAGAAAAAACGAAAAATGAATCGAAATTGATTGAATGATGCCAAAAAATAAACCGAACTGAAAGAATAATAATCGAATGTGAAAAACCGAACTGAACCGTTTCCAATCTGTTTCGTTTTCGGTTTTAGGCTATGAGAACCGAACCGAATCGAGAAAAACCAAAATATGTAAATTACCACCAAAAGTTCTAAGATGAGAAGTACAGCTAATCATTTTTGTTATTTTAAACCTCAATTTTTTGTAGGTTTAATTGTTTAAGTTGTTTCATTTTTACATATTCAATCATTTAAATTCTTTTTTCAAGTTTAATTGTTTTTATTCTGGTAAGGCTCCATTTTATTCTCTATTTATTTTTGAATGTTGAAAATAAGATTAAAAGATGCTCCATATAAAATTTTAAATTGCTTCATTTTTTTAAATATTTAATTTTGAAGATGCAAGTTGAAGTTTAGAAATAATGTTTAGGACTTTAATTACATGTTGACGTGACTTCTTGGACTTTTGTTTTTTTATTATGAACAATTATGAGGTTACGTTGGTTTTTTAAATGTGAGCAAGTATAAACTCTATACACTTCCTCAATTTTGGTCTACAATTCTAGTGTTTGGATAGATATTTGTAAGTGTTTGAATTTTTTTTACAGTTTTTTTATATATGATAAGTGTGATATACTTTTAAGAAATGTTTTTTAAAAGCGAATAACCTAAACAAATCGATGGCTGAATTACAAAAAACTAAACTGAAAAACTAATCGTTCACTTTTTTTGAAAAATCGAATCAAACCGAGCTACCAAAATAATTTACGTTCTATCTTTGATTTTAGGTATAAAAAAACCGAATTGAAAAACGAACCCACCCCTACTCATGTCCCACAAACCTAACCATACTGTCACCTCAGAACCTTAGATGCATAAAATAATAATAATAATAATAATAATAATAATAATAAAATCTTTATCTATACAATGGTGTGAGACACTTTTCTATAGTGTTCCTGCCAAAAGTGTTGGGCCGGATCCGTGGTAATGGGCTGCTGTCCATGGGCCAAAAATTGGTCATTTTTATTTGGCAAATTTCTTGGGTAATGTGAGTAGATTTCTTGGGAAGAGTTGGAATGATTTTCTCTAAGTACGAAAATGATTACTTTTTGTCTAATCAATTTATTTCTTCCATAAAGTTGCATTGGGGAAGAAAATTTAGTGACTCCATAAAGTAGATTTGATAAAAAGTTACTTTTAGTGGTTCCATAAAGTTGCATTGGGAAAAAAATTAAATGGCTCAATGAAGTAGATGAAAAAGTAACTTTGTGTCAAATCCATCTATTATATCTCATACCAATCTCACAAATCTTGATAGTATAAATAATAGGTCATTCTCTGATTCAACAACACCACAACTCCTCATGTTCTCAATTTTCTATTTCTCATTCAATATTTCGATTTCTCATTGAGCATCTAGCCCTCCACATTAATGGCAAGTTAAAGACAATGGTGTTTCCTTGTATATAGCATGTACACCACGTGTGTGTGTGTATATATGTTTAATAATTACAATATAGGCTTAGATTTTTTAATCCGGGTTTAAGTTTGAGGCAATATAAGAAACGAAATCGCCATGGCTGCAACAACGAAGGTTAATTCTGTTCCGCCACGCCAAGATACATTCATTTTCTTTGATGCTTCAAACATTAAAATCCTAAAAATTCACCATAACGGATTTCAATCCTTGCATATCATCACAACCCTATATTTAGACACTCACTCCGATGTTTGGACCATATATATATATATATAACACATATGGTGTACGCATATTAAATTAAGAAGATGTTTGAATTAGAAGATGATAAAATTGGGTCGAATAAGATGTTTGAATTAGAAGATGATAACACACATGGTATACGCATATTAATTTTTTATCACCGCACACACACACACACACACACATATATAGACACACACATATAAATCTGATGATCTTCGTGGGTGTGAAATATATTAATTATTTTAATATATTTAATATTATATATTATATTTATGGTTGTTACCTATTATAGCTAGAGTTATTATAATACAATATTTCCTTATTTATCTAGCCATTAATATGGAGAATTCTAGAATACTCCAACTCCACCTATATATTCATTACCTTGTATTCCTCTAAATTATTCAATCAAAAAGCATTGTATATTATTTTACATGGTATCAGAGCCTTTGGTCTTGGTGAGCTAATAGTTTCTGCTTCTGCCGTCACCGGTGGCTTGTCTGGTGACGGTGGCCTCACTTTCACTTAGCTTGTTCTTCCTTTGATCCTAATTCCTTCATAATTCCATCTATAAAAAAATATTCCCAGTCAACCACAACTGTCTGTTTCTAGATCCATCACCATCATTTGTTGATTTAAGATGAGACTGTCACATCAGGTTGCTCAGTTGGCATATCTTCAGTTAACAAGCATCCCTAGGAAGTAGGAACACTTCGTTCTTTTTGTTTCTCCTCTAAATTAGTCGGGCACGACTCTAGCGCACGTCAACATTCTCCCTCTTTCGACGTCAGCAGCATGAGTCTGCTCGCAGCGGCTTTTCTCCTCTCCTCATCAGCGCCGTCACATCTCTTTCCTGGAAATCTTTTTCTTCTCTTTTGGGCCGGATGCAATCAGTCTACTCTAACGGAAGATATGCATCTAACTTATGATTACAATTCTGGTCACAATTCAAGTAAAAAAGTTGGCGTTCAATCTTCACCTCCCAAGACGTTGGTAGCATGTTAAATATATTAAATATTTTAATATATTTAATATTATATATTATATTTATGGTTGTTACCTATTATAGTTAGAGTTCTTATAATACAATATTTCCTTATTTATCTAGCCATTAATATGGAGAATTCTAGAATACTCCAACTCCACCTATATATTCATTACCTTGTATTCCTCTAAATTATTCAATCAAAAAGCATTATATATTATTTTACAGTGGGTTTTTTACGATTCAAGCATAGATCTTTGTATGATCGAATTTAATCGATCCAACGGCGAGCGCCAAATGATGGTCTCAATTATTTCGACCGATTTTTATTATTTTTACCATGTAAAAAATAAGAAGTGAGTCTAACAATCACTAAAAATCTGAATAAATATTTTTTTACGTGGAAAATTAAATCGAGAGAAAAATACTGGTCTTTTTTTATGATACCTTTCCAATAGAAATATTTTATTAACATCAAGAATTTGTACACTGTATATAATATTGGCTTGAAGCCAATGATGAAGTTTATGGCTCATTTTAGAGAAACTATGAAGGTGTTTGGGAGTGATTAGCTTGTAGATAAAGTGATTTCTACAAAAGCTGAAAGCAAAAACACATAATCCATGTTTCTCCGAAACCGTATTATATGTACAAAATAGTGTTGGTGAAAAGTAAAAGTTGACATGCCAAATAGAGTAAAACTACTTCCACTCAAAGCAGAAGCTAAATTGTTAAAAGCAGCACACTATCAAACACTCGTTATGAAGCTTTATTTAAACAAGTGAGATACTATTTGAGATGAGTGAGTAGGAGAGTTGTAGTAAATAAGCCCCCTCGTTTTGAGGGAGTAGAGATAAATATGATAGAGTGAATTCTAGAGATAATTATGATAGGTAGTGAATGAAGTATTTGATTATGGTAGGGAATGAATTAAGCAATTGATTATGTGTATATAGGGCCTGTTTGGAAATAACATTAGAGATTAACGTTAGCGTTTTGGATAAAATTACATTTTAACGATGCAGATTACTTTGAAAACGCTAAACACTGCCCATAGATATCCTTTTCAAAACGCTAACGTTATTCCCAAACAGACACATAGTTATCATAAGGAGTAGATTAGGTGATGATAGAGTAATTTGTGGAGAATAATTGGTGATGATAATTATATTAATATTAATTACTAATTGAGAAATTCAGACCGAGATATCCAAATCAGATAATATTTTTTGTCACCGAATATCCAGTTTTTCTGGTTTTGGTACAGTTTTACTACATAATCGAATGATCACTTGCTTCAAACCAATTACAAAAAAGTAGGTGTCAAACGGGCAACAAACTGCATGGCAACAAACAAAAAAGTCCACCCAATCTTGTTTCTCCTTGCCTACCACCCAAACACAAAAAATATCACTTGAGCTTAGAGTATATCTCCATTCTAATGAACATCTTTTCGTAGTCAAAATCTCGACCCGCTTTAGAACATCACATAAAACATCCTAGCTCCAAAGACTATTGAGTTCCTAAACAAAGTCTAGCAGATTGTACATAATAATGTATCGACCCTAAGGCCAAAACAGTTGACAGAAAAAAGTCAAAACTGGATAAATACTCTGAAACGGGGTAGTATAACGGTTGCCAAACGAGCATCACCCATGAATGGTGGATTTTTTGGGAATAATTTTTTCGATTAAAGCCAGTGTTGTTTTTAAAGCTAAACACAAAACATTGCGGATAGGTAGCCATGGTTGCCAAACAAGCCCTTAGTTGTTATGGAAAATCAAACGGTTATTACTTGTGAAAGCCAAAATATCCTTTTCAGAATCTAAAGAAATGAAAATCTGCAGAAATAACATACTGTAATTGTTTTTTTTTCTTTTTTTGACATTATTCAAAATATGTTCCCCTAATATTTGAACCTTAAGCAAGAAGTCTCAGAACTGTAGAAATTAGATGAAATTTAAAAAAAAACCCTAATAAATGAAATGTACTGCTTATCTTATCCGACCTTTGGAGCAAAATCAATCCTGATTCTTCTTCATCTTCTCCAAGCGATCGCTGAGCTGTTCGGCGCGGAGGACGAGACCGGTGACGGAGAAGAGGAGCCAGTAAAAGACGAGGGCGGCGGCGATGAGGAGGGCGTTGCGCTGAGACTTGACCATCGACTTCTGGTGGCGGAGGTGCTCGGAGGGGGAACACGATCCCGGCGACTCGCAGGCGGGATGCGTCTCGTATTTCCAGTAGATATCCATCAAGAGGAAGACGCAGAAGGGGACGATCGACAGGAAGGGTTTCAGGAGGCTCCGGATTACGCTGATGAGGCCCTTCCTGAGCGGGTTGATGCCCGGTAGGGTTAGCAGGAGAAGCATGACCGCCTCTGCCCCGGCGGCGTAGCCTAGCACAACCCACTCTAACGCCATTGTCGATTCGATCTGAGATCTGGTTTTCTGTGATTTCGTTGACAGGGGAATTGAGGCTAAAATGCAGAGTAATATTTCCGGGTCGTTGGAGAAGAAGGATCCGGAAATGAAGCGACGGTTCCTTATGCGCGAAGCACTTTACTTAGAGCGGGCCGGGTAATGAGTTTAGGCCCGCCTTTCTCTGCAGCCCATTTAGTAGAGAAGTACGGAGTATAAAATTTTTGCATTTTTTACTTTTTTTTAACACTAATAACTCTGTTATAATTTGTAGCTGTTTTTAATATTCATTATTCTTTATAGAGAAAATAATACTTTTAGTGCTCCATCTGTCCAATAATATTAAAAATCTCTCACACCATATTAGACCTTAATCCTAATAAAATTATGAACAATATTATTATGTGAAATTTGTACTAAATGGGAGTAAAACATAAGTCATTTCTCAATGTAGGACATAAAAAATTTTTATTTTCTAAATAGGACTTAATAATGTCTAGTGGGAGAAATAATATTCAGTAATGATGAACATTTAGTTGAATAATGACTAATAGATAATGACCAAAAGTCCTACATTAGAAACTAAAAACATATGGTCCTATATTGAGAAAATAAGTCATTATGTTTTAGTCCTATTTAATTAAATTTCTCTATTATTATCCAAATGATGTGTAAAGATTAATGAAACAAACTCAAAAGAAGCCAAAACGAGCACACACTAATCAATTAAAAATCTAGAATAGGAAGGATAAAGCGATGAACATCTACAACTTGTATATTGTCTGAACAAAATCTCAGCATTCTAATATTATTCAATCTTCAACTAAGATAACGTTTTTTGATAAGCCATAGCTTTAACTAAGAGCATTCGCAACAAGTAAAAAATTGTCTCATCCAGCTATTAGAGAAAAGTTGATGCGTGCACAGGGTATGAAGAGAGACGAGCATGGCTACCGCATGTGCCTAAGAGCAAGCAAATTTGCTTTGCTCCAACTATGCCAAATCACTAGCCCACCCTACCCCAATAGTCAGCCAACTTCGTTGGTTATCTATCCACCTTCGCAACCACCATGTGCAAAAATTGTTGGTTGCATCACCCCTATGCGAAATCACCAATCACATCTCCTTTTGTTGCAAAATTGCCAACTATATATCTATCTTGCTACCACATTCGTTATTTATCATATCCTCTGCTCATACCACAACCAGGCCACCACAGACGACATAACTTTTTCAATGCAAGCTATGAAATGCAACACCCTTTGCACAATTTATTTGATTGGTTGGAAGATGCGCTCTATGAGATTCCATTGCTAGACTCTAAGAACACTATATCTTATCAAAATAGTTATTAAAAAAAGCCACCCTCATAAAAAGTGCATTGCCAACCAACCGCCGTACCTCCATAACGAGAAAATAAAATAGTGAAATTCACACTAAATAGCATTAAAATATATGTTTTTTATCGATGTAATACTTGAACTTTTTATTTTTTAAATAACAATTGAACAATGTCTAGTAGCGGGAACAATATCTAGAGACGCTAGATATATAGTTTGAACAATGTCCAGTGACGATAGACATTTACTTAAACAATGAACAATGGACATTGAACGGTGATACTACATTAATAAATAAAAACATATTGTACTACATTGAAAAAATCATTATGTTATAGTATTATTTAGATAAATTTTCAATAAAATAAGGTATAAAAATAAAATTATAAATTTCATCATTCAAAAATATATCAATAATATTATACAAACAAACAAAAAATATGAAGAGATTGTATGAAAGGGAGAGGGAGTATGTTTTTTTTACACACACAAGACTTCAAATTCAAAGGAAAGAAGGGAAATAGTATTTTCCATTAGCATAAACATTTTGAATACAATTTTAAGATGGATAAAATTCTAAGATGAAGGCGCAGAAGCACTAGAGCTTGCTAGTGATATTGATGTTCCTGACTTTAGGCTGCCTCGCCGTCGTCTCCTTCGGGACAACCACCGTGAGCACGCCGTTCTCCACCTGGGCCTTGATTTGCTCCGCCTTCACCCCCTCCGGCAGCTCTATTTCCCGGGAAAAACCTCCCTTTCCTCCACCGCGTTCCGCCACGTGCCAAACCACCCCCTTCTCCTTTTCCGGAGATTCATTTCTCCCGCCTTCCGCCCTCACCACCAACACGTTCCGGTCTTCCACCTGTACCTTGATCTCTTCCCTGCTGTACCCTGTACATAATTTATTTATTTTTAAATGCTCGAAATTAATCTGAACCACTTCAAAATTGACCGGAGAAAAACGAACCGGGAACATTGATTTTGAAGATGTGCGCGGCGGGGGATTCGATCCAATCGAGGAGAGCAGCGGAGCCAGGAGGAGCGCGGTGGTAGACGGTGGGGCTCCAGAAGAAGCGCCGGAAAGGATCGCCGCCGAAGAAGGCCGCCATGGATTCCGATTAGATCTTCTTGCACGTCTGTAAACAAATCTCACTCTGTAGATTAGTTAACTATTGAGTAGATTAGTTAACTACTCAGAGCTAGTATATTGCTTAACTATTCAGAGGCAAATGTCTCATCAATTCAGATAAGATGTCTTAACCATTCAGACTCTGTATAATACTTAACCATTCAGAGACAAATCTCTTACCCATTCAAACATCTGAACCATTAAGAGGCTGAAACAAACAGTCTGAACTATTAAATGCTGAACCATTCAGACATCTGAACCATTAAGAGGCTGAAACAAACAGCCCCGGAGTATTTTGTACATTTTTTACTTTTTATGTTCAAAATTGACAAACTTTCATCATAAATTTATGAGGAGTGCTAGAGAAAGACTACTTAGGGTATGCTACATGTACACCAAATTTAAAATATGCATACACAGAAATTTAATATCTGTGCAGACACAAACATTAAGTGCCTGTGTGTGCATAAATATGATGTGTTTTCTCATCTTAAGACTTTTATTGCTTATGTGCAGACACAAACATTAAGTGTCTGTGTGTGCATACTTTTTGCTTGGTGTACATGTAGTGTACCCCAAGTTATGTTCATTAAGCAATTCTCTAAATTTATTGTGTCAGTTTGGTTCTTATTTATTACTCTCTATGCCCCTAAAAGATTGCCACAGTTTGATTTTTTTGTCAAATTGTGGTACTCTTGATTTTTTGGTCAAATTGTGGTGCTCTATTAGTAAAGTCCTTTTAAACTGAAAATAAATTATACTCCGGTATCTTTTATACTTCCTCCGTCCCAATTCCAAAAGAATAAAAAAATTTACATTCTCTTTTAATTTTCTAAATTTTAAATTGTCTTTTTTAATCATGCCTAATTATTTTTCTATTTACACCCTTTTTCTTTTGGGTTTGTTTTTTTACGGAGTAGTTTTTTTCCTTTCTTTTATATTATAAAAAAATTAAGGCAAGATTGGCCACAATCATAAATGCTGACATATATTGTGATATATCTATTAACTAGTACATCACCCACCCGTGCGATGCACGGGAAGAAAAAATTTGTCCTAATTATGAAAAACATTTTATATTTTAAATTATTGGGTATTAGTTTATAAATAGTTGATATGTACGTACTTCAATTTATAAATATTATAATTTATTTAATTTTAAATGGACATACAAAACATAAAAGAGAGAGCCTTCAATAGATAACATGAGAATAAAGGACAATCAGATAATATGAGAATGAAAGACAATACACTATGCACATTAAGACCAATCAAACATTCTCAAATACCCCCTTATAAACTACATTCGTTGTAGTGTTAGCTGAAATATTTTCAGAATTACATATCATTATTTTTAAACTTGCGCAAAAATGTAACCTAAACATTACTACATACAGCTGGTCTCAATTGAAAATTGGTTTTTTCAAGAATATGCTAACATGAGAGAGATTGTTCCGATTTTTGTTTTTGATCATCACATATGGCACCATATCTTAAAATGGTCTTCTTTGAAACTTAAATGGTTATCCCGTATCCGAAGGAGTTAATGAATCTCGTTGGATCAAAACAGTTTATCATGCATTTTTTCCATGAATTATTTTTGATGCAAAAGATTTTTTATATATATTTTTAAGCAATGTAATTTATAATTTTTATTTATATATCAATTTATAATAAAATTGATTTTATATGTGTTCGTTGGATAAAATTGATTTTAAATGTGTTCGTTGGAGGATCATAATTTTGGTTGCATTTTTTTATTATTAAAAAATTGACCAAAGTCGAGTTGATCCATCATCCATTCAGATGTGTTCGATGCGTCTATATGCTTCATTTTTACTTCAGTATTTTCTTTTTATCTATATGTAATCAATATTTTAAATTGTTAATTATAATCAGTTTTATACTAATGAATTATTGACTTTTTTTATAATTGTGAGATTTAAAACAATCTATAAACTTTTTGGAATCTATCTAAACAAATCTAATCCATAAAATACATTAATATCAATTTAATCAATTTCACTACATGCATAACTAAAATAATTCATTGAATTTATGTCTTTCATGGATGATGATATATCCACATAATATTTAAAAAATCTAAATTGAATAATTCTATAAGATTTTGCTTGTGCGTATTTCAAATCTTCAACGAACACCGAAAGAAAAAATAGAAGTGTGAAAATAAAATAAGGAAAATATCTCGAAGAAAGAAAATTTGCGAAATGATGTTGCGGTGATGACATATTATGCATTCCATCAACCCAGGAAGGAAGGTTGAAATCTGCAACAGGAAAATACTGATTTCAATTCAGAAGAGGAAACCAACTTCAAATGTGGGGCCGAGTATTTTCATATATGAAGGAAATGGGGGAGTGAATAAATTGTTATGGGCAGGAGAATAAAAAGTAAGGGACTGCTTGTTTCAGCCTCTTAATGGTTCAGATGTCTGAATGATTCAGCATGGTTCAGACGGTTTGTTTCAGCCTCTTAATGGTTCAGATGTCTGAATGGTTAAGAGATTTGCCTCTGAATGGTTAAGTGTTATACAGAGTCTGAATGTTTAAGACATCTTATCTGAATTGATCAGACATTTGCCTCTAAATAGTTAAGCAATATACTAACTCTTAATGGTTCAGACCTCTTACTTGTTCAACACTTAATGGTTCAGACCTCTTACTGGTTCAGCACTTACCTATTCAGAAGTTCCCAAACAGTCCCTAAGTCCCAAAAATGGAATGATAACCAAAAGGAAAAAACCACAAGTAGAGACCAAATAAAGACAACAATGACCATATATGTATAACTTTTCAGGCCTTCAATCGAAGGATGTTCGCCCGGTTGACTCTTCACACCATTTTTCAGCAATTTACCGAACCATTTTGAACGTGAAAAGAATTCAAATTGTGACAATGTCTCCCCACTAAACAAAGATTTTACGTAATTAAGGTTATTGATCTCCTATGATCTTGATAACTTAATTGTTATTCAAAATATATGTATGTTCCATTAGTGTGAAAGATGTGCTCACGCACATGAACGAATTATGTTACTCTACGTTAAGCAAGTGGTTTTTGGCTGGAAATGGCGGGATTTCTAGAAGGACGTGTTTGGTAACATTCATTCCAACCAAATAAGCAGATTGAACTCAATATGGCTACCAAATAAGCATAAGTTTTTTTTTGTTTTAATTTTTATATGCTCAATTTTTTTAGTCAAGTCCTTCCCTTCTAGTGAAGCAACCCAAGGAAGGTTTGCTATTCCCTCCGTTCCAAATTATGATGCATGTGTACTATTCACAGGGTCAAACTTCATTCACTTTCTTTCTCTATTTTCGTTAGCAATTTAATAAAATAAAATATTCTTATCACTACTAGTTTTGTAGATCTTTTGATGTAGTTTTTTAATATGTAATTTTTATTTTTTAATTCTATACCATTTGTCATATACAATGATTTGAAAATACTTTCAGTCAAACATCGTAAACCGAAATAGACGTTATAAAATGGAACGGAGGTAGTATAAAACATGAAGTTCAAACAAATGAGAATAATGATTTCAACCATTATGAGATGCCTAGAAAATTCCATCCAATATTTAGTTCTAGATTACTCTATTCAAGAAGCTAGCTAGGTTCAAAATCAATCGAAAGGTTACTGGACAAGAGTTGAAAAGCCAGTCTGCCAATACATCTTTTAGGAAGGAATTGTAATGGAAATTAAACTCCCATACCATTTCCCTCCATCAGTGAGGAAAACATTTTTTACTTGATTCCAATTTCCTTCTCAATTACTTCCTCCGTGTTATAATGATCTTTCCGATTCGCAAAATGAAGAAAAATCCCAAGTTTTTTCAATCTATTTTATTTAAATATTGGTATAGAAATAAAAAATGAAACATACATATTTAAAAACTACATCAAAAGTTCAACAAAACAAGTGGTGACAAGAATATTTTATTTTATCATATAGACCATGAAAAAACACAAATAAATATAAATTTCCATTGTCCATTTATTAAAACAAAATAGTTATATGACATCTTATAACTTTATAAAACCTTTGATACAATTTTTAAACCAAAACTTGTTGCTAGATTTCTCTAGTTTTGTGGTTTAGAACTTCCTAAACCGTCATTTTTCAAAATTGACTTTGGGGAGCCTTAAAATATGTGAAAGTTCACTCTAGATGGACTCTCTATCATGTCCACTTGCTCTATTATCTTTTCATATTCTTTTTCGAAAAAATTATTGTTCGGTGTCCCCAATTTTGTATTAAAAACTTTTGTTCAGCACCTCCCCCCTCTACTTTTTCCTACTTTTATTATTATTATTATTAATTATTTTGATATGTTATATATATACAAATATCTAAACAATATTATTTGATAATAACTCCAATCAAATATCATTATGAGTGCGTCCAACACTTATTTGGAGACAGAGGCAGAATGTCATGAACTTCTAGTATTTGTATACTTATGTGAAAACAAGCTCATCAAGAGTACTTTCACATCATTTAAAACTTATGATATATGAATATAATTACGGGGAGGTTCATGTGACATTGGTCATCAATCTCATAAGATGACTCGAGACTCTTACGAAGTTCGGTTCAAAAAATTGATAATTTTTACCACTCATTAACTCCATGCCCTCCTGACCCCTTCCTTTGGCCAATTGGCTACAATGATTATTGTATCCAATTGGCGGAGAAAGGGAAGCATGACATGGATGCAAAAGATGTACAGTTTAGTAGAGTTTGAGGGTAAAAAACCTACAATATTTCAAACGGAACACGGTAAAAGTCCCAAGTCATTCTATGACATTGGCAACTAATGTCATCAGATGAACTCAATTGATAAAATTAACGATTAAATTTAAGATCGAAAAAACAAAAAACGTATCATTATTTTTAATTTGGAATGGATGGAATAAAATCTAGCTAGGCTCCTTCTGCAGAGAGCCCATGGCGGGGGGAGGGAGGATTTGAGCTCCACATCTAGTAGCAAAATGTGAGGAATATATGGCTTTTTTAATCTCCT